ACGTATTGATAGTGATATCGATGTACAGGTAGTGATATCGATACCGATACAGTGGTCGATGGATAGTGAGATCGATATGCGTAACCAGAGATGCTGAAATCCATGTACCGATTTCTGTGTATGTGCTAATCAGGCTCGTTTCCGCACCAGCTCCGGGCGCCGACCGCAGCGCGTGCACGGCTAGTGTTGCGGGCCAGTGGCTGGTGGCGAGAGCTTGGCGGTGGTGGAGCAGGGCTCCCTCGTCGAGGTGTGCGAGGTCTGCTACCTCCTGGGCCTGGCTCGCGAAAGCGCCCAGGCGGAGCGCGGCTCGCCCAGGCGGAGCGCGCGGCGCTGCTGCAGGCGGCACGGCACTTGGCGGCGCTCACCGCAGTGCTGAGGCAGCTCGGGGATGCAGGCCCAGGCGAGGGCGAGGGCGAAGGCGCTCGCCGAGCCCTTCGCAATATGGGGCTGCGGCGCAGGGGGCGCCGGGCGCGGCTCGGGGCGAGGAGCAGGTCGCGGCGCGGTGCCCTCGCCGAAGCCGGCGGCGGAGCGGTGCTCTTCCCGTGCGCGGCTGGGCCTGGCGCCAGCGGCCCGGCCGTGGGGCGCCGCTAGCGCCACCGCCCTCTGCAGGCCCGGCGTGCTGGGGGGGGGGGGGGGGGCTGGGCTCGCAGCGCGCCAGGGGCGCCCGCCACCGCCGCGGGGGCCTCGTGGCGATGCCGCCGCCACTGCGGCCGAAGGCTCCCACCAGGCGCTGCGCGCGCTGGTGGGAGCCTTCGGCCGCGGTCTGCGCTGCCTGCTGCGGCCGCTGCCTGGGGCTGCGGGGTGCCGGGGCCGCCTGCTGCGGGTGCCTGGGTTGCGCTGCCTGCTGCGGCCGCTGGCGCGGCGCTGAGATCGCCGCCTCAGCCGCGCCCGCAGCGCGGGGGCGCGCCGCTGCCGCTGGCGGTGCTGCCATATCTCGGCGCGGCGCTCGGTCCTGGCGGTCCTGGGCGATTCCTGGGCGGCCTGTGGACGGGCGGCCCGCCCCTGGTCAGCAGCGCGCTCGTGCGCGGCATGGTCGTCGAGATTCCGACGTGGGACGCGGCGCAGCGCGCGTGGACGGCCCGGCGGTTTTCGTCATCCTTCCTCCTCTACTTCTTCTTCTTCTTCCTCCTCCTCCTGCTCCTCCTCCTCCTCCTCCCTCCCCCTTTTTTCCTCCTCCTCCTCCTCCTCCTCCTCCTCCTCCTCCACTCCCTCCTTTTCCTGCTCCGGCGCCTTGTCGGCTCACGCCTGGAGCCTGGCGTCCACAGTTGTTTGGTCCAAGCTGGTGCGGACGATGCAGGCGACCAGCCAGGCAGGTGCGGCGGTGCGGCACCATCCGCAGCCAGCCGGCGGCGGCACGGAACACGGCACCGCGAGAGCGGCTGTGGGAGAGCCTCTTCGTGGAGCTTCTGGGACGCGTGCCGCGGCCGAAGGGCTCGGCGCCAAGCTGAAGTTGCAGTGCACCTCGATGTCTCCGCTCGAGAGTACAATGGAGTCGGGCCTGTCCCTCTACAGGAGGCATATTCGACAATAGTGTAAAAGGCAGTCAGGGGACGATGTTGGACTATTTTCGACCCTTTGGGGAGTATTTTTTTGTTGTTTTGCTATGTTTGATAGTTCCTTCAGAATCCGCCTGCAGGGGGACACTCCTGGGAGTACTTTTGTTGTTTTACTATTTTTGATAGTTCCTCCAAAATCTGCCTGCAGGGGGGCATTTCCCGACCTGACAGTGCAAGAAGCTGCACGGCGCCGCGATGGCGGTGTGGCGTGCCTCGCCGCGCCCCGCGCCCGTGCCCCTGCCGACCGAGGGCCCGAATCTCTTCGAGGCGCACGCCTCGATGGCCATCGACGACGAGCTCTACGACGGCATGATGAGGCGGCCGCCTCCCCCCTGCGCTCGGCGGCGCTCCACGGGAGGGGGGTTTCGATTTCGATCTCGATTTGGGCTTCGATTTGTGCTTCGGTTTCGATTCCTCCGATCCGACTCGATTTCGATGTGGGCCTCGATTTCTCCCTGGAGGCCTCTGGATTTTCGGATTTGTGCTCCGATGTCTCTCTTATCACTGGACGTGCACTAGTAGCCTGCCGAGTTCCGCCGATTCGACTCTTCCCGGCTCGTCTGCCGATTTTCGCCGATCCGATTCGTCTCGATCGCCGATCCGACTTGTCGATTCGATTCTGGGCCTTCCTGCCCCATACGCGGGGGGGGGAGCCGAAACAGGTGCGGACACGATGGACACCACGTCCAACATTAGCTCTCGTTCATTCTGAGCGGGATTCGCTGCGGGCGTCGCCGCGGTCGCTGTCCACCTGAGGAGCAAGCTCGTCTGCCCAACAGCGGCCGCTGTCGATTTTGGACAACATGTGTTGCTGGGCATCGTGCAGTCAACCCGCACAGGAAGGATGAGCAATTTTCCAAGGTTGCCCTCGCATCCCTCCCCTTCTCCCCATCCTTGGCCGCTTTCAGTGGCCGCGCCCTGCTCGCAGAGCGTCGGCATGGCCTTCCGAGGCCCGTGAGCATCCTTATCGTTCGTCCTTGTTATACGGGCTGACTGTACCCATTTTTTCCGTAGTGATGATGCTGCTGATGATGATGACGATGATGATGATGATGATGTTGATGATGATGATGATGATGATGATGATGGTGATGACGACGATGATGATGCTGATGATGATGATGATGATGGTGATGACGATGACGATGACGATGACGATGACGATGACGATGATGATGATGATGACGATGATGATGATGATGATGATGATGATGATGATGATGATGATGATGATGATGATGATGGTGATGACGATGATGAGAGAACGTCATCATCGAACATCATCATCAGCCGAGGGCTCCAGACCTCCGACGTATTGGAAACACCAGGGGCGGCGGCTTCTCCTCGTGCTCGGCCTCCAGGGGCCCCCCGCCCGGCCCACCGGGGCCGCCAGACGACGCCCCGTCGGGAGCGGGCAGGCCGGCCCCTCGGGAAGGGGGACGGGACCTCTCGGAGGAGGCAGACACGATCCCCCGCCAACCTTGATCACGGGAGAGGGGGGGGGGAAGAAATGAGGGTTTGCGATTTTTCGGGGGGTCCCTGGATCATCCATGCCTCCCCCCAGGGACCTGGAGGGCCCTCCTCGGGAGGCCCACGGGCCGCAGCGCCCGCCGATGCCAAACAGCAGTTCTTGTTTGTGTTGAACAGGACTCGCTGTCCGCGCTGCGGCGGATGCTGTTCTCTGAACACAGCAAGCCGCCTGCCCAGCAGCGGCCGCTGTCGCGCTTGCACAACGCTTGTTGTTGGGCATTGTGACATGTTTGTTCCGTACCCATGTCGGGCGTCGAGAGAGACATCATCCAGAGCCGCCAGATCTCAGAGACTCTCGATTGATCCCCACCCGATTCTATCCTCGTCCTGGCTTCGTCGTAACTTCCTGGGGCCGCAGATGGGAAGACTGCTGACATCGGATGTCTGGGAGGCGGGCCTTCCCGTGGAGGCTCGGCCGAAGACCCCGGTCGGCGGAGCACCGCCGCCCTCCGAGAAGACTTGCCCCCTCTCGTTTTCCCCTCGGCGCGCCGCCGAGTTTCCCAGTCTCCGGGCACGTAACACAGAACCACGACCGCAGCCATTTTTATGATGTTCCAACCTACTTCAGCTTCTCAACCACCAGCAAGAATTTCGAGCACCAACAAAGTAAGGGTTTTCACGTGTCGGGCCCTGGGAGACACTCGTCCGACACTGTTTCGACACTCTTTCGACACTTTTCCGGGTGCTCGACACGATTTCTGGGATGTGGTCCTTAACTACGATGGGAGCAACATAAAACTGGTTTGGCTTGTCGAGAGGGCCCCTCGGCATTGCTATTGCGGTTGTGGTTGTAGTTGGTTTGGTTGTCTTGGGGCGCCACATCGACAAGGTTCGGTGTTCCAACGAATGCTGACATGCGCAGGACATTCCCTGGAGTGTGGTCGCTTGCTGTTCTAGCAGAATCAGCCAGACTGTCCCGTTCGTGCAAGCATTACCGCAGGGGCTCTGAACTCGGGGGCAACGTTGGAGGAAGGTGGGGTAGGCTCGGGGGGGGTGCATCGAGCTCGGCCATTGATCGCCGAAGGGGGCCTGATAACCTGATAATCCACCCCCTCCCAGGAGCATGCGGTATCGGAATCGCTATCGGGGGCCCATCGCCGATGTATCGCCGATTTCCGGTCGATGTTTCTTCCCTGAGCCGTTCCCCACCCCCTTTTCCTGCACGCCACTTGCAAGTCGGCCAGATCCCAGACATTCAACGCAGTGAACAAAAACACGGAGGGTTTTCGTCGGTTCGGCATCTGGGGGCCGTCTCCAGGCCTCGAGGCCGTCAAACAACGGTTCACGATGAGACGTTGATCTTGCCGATCTTGGCGCTGGCATGATGAGGCGTCCACCTCCCTGCGCGCCACCTCCTGAGTCGGCCAGGTCCCAGGGCTCCTGGGAGACCCTAGAGGCCGAAGTGGGGTCCACGCACACCCGCCCTCCATCCGTGAAGCTCTTGCAACGCTTTATGACGAGCGCGCGCGGCGCGATCCGAGAGCCACATTCTGAAGACCCAGCGCCTCCTGAGGCGGCCACCTCCCGATGCACATCCAGCGTCTCGACAGAGATCGAGACGGCCCGTTTTCCGTGCTCGGGCTCCGAAGGCGGGTGCCGTGCCGCGGGGCCGTCGGAACACACGACAATTGGGGTCGAGGAGCCGTACAGTGCCGTTTTTGATACATGCTCCGCGTGCGGATCATGTATTGAAAATGCAGGGATTTAGTATTGCAACCATCGATGAGTTCATGCTTACAATTATTCATGAATTAGTCATGTATTATAAATCCTATATGTTTAAAAATCCTATGTATTAAACACTGCCCTGTACCCAGGGTCACGTTGCAGCTTCGGGGGGCCGCGCTTGTCCCTGAAGTTCGTGTCCTGCTCGCCTCGTGCCCGACGCGGGCTCGATGCGGATGCGAACTCGACGCGGATTTTGCATGGATTCGATGCGAATTCGACAGATTTCGACGCGGATTGGACGAGTGCGACATGGATTCGATAGGGATTCGACGCGGACGGGGGCGCGACGGGACAGACAAGGTCCATTGAAGATGCAGCATCACCGGGGAAATGGCCGGGAGGACGGGTGCCCATATCTCGAACCAGTTGCGACGGTGGATGGCTGGGATTGTCTCGTTCGCGCAGGCACAGCCGCTGAGTTCTGAACGCGTGCCGCGATGGCGACTTGGTCAGCATGTGCCACCGCCGCCTCGAATTTATCGACGATGTTGTTCTCGCGTCAGCTTGGGCCTTGCTCCGATGTTATTGCATGCTCTCTCTCCCTCTCTTTATTTCTCCACTGGTGAGCTGATCGAATTGGGGATCTGATGAGTTGCGACCTCCAGGCGAAGGATGAAGGGTTATAACATGACGAATGAGTTCCCAGAGCGGCATGCATGATGTGCACCCACCGTCATGTTCATGGATGTTGCCTTGTGTGCGTGTGTGTGTGTGAACCCGCCAGGTGTTACGTCGAGATGCTGCAGCGGATTGATGCCGGTCCCCAGGACTCCGTGGGGCACAGGGGGACCATAAGGGCAGAAACGAGGAGGCCTGGGAGAGGAGGAGAAGGATCAGAGCCCCGAATCTTCAGGGGTAATTAACTCGGGTCAGGGTTAACTCGGGTTCGTTTTTCGGGAATCCGAACTCGAGTTACCCCGGACCCGAGTTACCCCGGATAATTCGGGCGTCCAGAGCCCTACATCATCAGGGGTAACTCGGGCCATGGTTAACTCGGATCCGTTTTTCGGGAATCCGAACCCGAGTTACCCCGGACCCAGGTTACCCCGGATAATTCGGGCGTCCTGAGCCCCACATCATCAGGGGTAACTCGGATCAGGGCTAACTCGGGTTCCTTTTTCGGGAATCCAAACGCGAGTTACCCCGGACCCGAGTTACCCCGGATAACTCGGGCGCCCAAAAGGAAGAGCAGGGGACCCGACGTCCACCCGGCGGCGAGATTCCAAGATTTCATTGAAGTGCGCATTATGGGATATGGCGTGTGATTGCCGGGCTGGTGCCGCGGGTGTGACGTCAGCACTGGGATACACTATCTCAATTCACAGTTCGGGCGGGGTCGGCTTGCGAGTCGCCAGAGCAGATTGTCGGGCAGCCTCAGGATGATATCTCAGTCAGTCCAGGGCCTCCTGGGAGTGCCCTGGAATGGCCCTCGCTTTACGAGCAGACATTCAGTAGAAAAAACGCACATACACAAAGCATCGCCGATTCCCAACAGCATCTGGATAAGGAAGTGGAGGGGAAGACGAACATCCAGGAAATACTGAACATGTGGGGGGGAATCCTAGGATTTGTGCCTATTTGTTGGTGTGTCCCTGGGCCCCTTTACAGATCTCCTGCGACACGGCTCGTCAAGCCTAGCGGTTTTCTTCGATTTCGGCCCAGGGGCCCGTGACCCTCAAACATGGATGCGGCCGAAGAAGTACCCCCAGGGCAGCGCCTGGGGCTTCTGTAGCCGACGATTGAGGCATCATACCGGCCGCAGTCTGGCATCACGGCAGACGGCTTTGGGCATGTCCTAGGGGAGCGAGGAATGACATAAACATAAAAACTCGGAGGTCCGCGCGGATTTCTCGGATCGGCGGAGCGCGCCAGGGGCGGCGCGGAGGCGCCACCGCGGATCCGAGAAATCCGCGCGGACCTCCGAGTTCTTATGTTTACGGCGCTGGAGGCGCCACCGCGGATGCGACAAATCCGCGCGGACCTCCGAGCCATTATGTTTACATCATTTTTCGTTCCCCTATTATCGCGCATCTTTTCTATCAATATTCACTGTGTGCCACCTGTGTTCCCTCCTCCTCCCCCTCCTCCTCCTCCTCCTCCTCCTCCTCCTCCTCCTCCTCCACCTCCTCCTGTGTATTTTTTCTCGGCGAGGGCCATCGAGGGGAACGAAGAATGGCAGAAACATAAAAACAATGCCAGAAACAACAAAAACGTGGAAGTCCGCGCGGATTTCTCGGATCGGCGCTGGGGCCCCGCGGGCGGCGCGCTCCGCGCGGGAGACGCCCGAGCGCGGCCAGGCCCCACTGCAGCGCGGGATCAGCCGTGCATCCGGACCTGGGCCACCTGCTAACAACCCCCCTCGGCCTTCCGCAGCCTGCGGCCGCCCCCCCGGCAGCCTCCGGCACCTCTCGGGCGCAAGCGCTGGAGGCGCCAGCGCGGATCCGAGAAGTCCGCGCGGACCTCCGAGTTTTCATGTTTATGTCTACCAGCCTCGAACTTATCCCTATCCATAAGATTGACACGCCAAAAGGCGATGACAATCTTAGGGATTCGCCCTCAAAAAATAAGGGAATCCCTAAGATTGGCATCGTGATGAGGAGGTGCCCAGCGTAGGGATAGGGATATGTTCCAGACTGGTAATATGTCATGCTCCGTTCCCCTAATTATGGGACTTGGCCTCGCCCGGGCGTGCGCGTGTTTGTTCTCGGCGAGGGCCCTCGAGGTTGCCTTTTGGGGGGCCTCTTGCGGCAGAGTGCGCGCACGAGGCCGGGCATAAAGAGCGCTCGGGGAGGGGGCGTCCGAGCGACGGCGGAGTGGGAGACGGGCCTGCTCCGCCGGCCAGGAGACCAAGGAGGTCTTGGAGTCCGTGGAGGCGATGCGGCCACCCATCGTGGACCCCGACGGCATCTTCCAGGAGGGGAATAGGGGAACAAAAAGTGGCATAAACATAAAAAACTCTAAGGTCCGCGCAGATTTCTCGGATCGGCGCTGGGGCCCCCCAGCGGCGCCTCCGGCGCCGCCCCTGGCGCGCTCCGCGCGCCAGCGAGGGGGGTCCAGCGCCGATCCGAGAAATCCGCGCGGACCTCCGAGTTTTTATGTTTATGTCACTTTTTTCCCCTAGGGAAGCAACACACCGACACAATTCATCGACGATCTCCCAGGGAGACATGGGAAGCCATGGGCAGTGGTGGGGTAAGACGAAGAAGCAGGAAACATGGACAAAGATGGGGAATCCTGGAATCTGTGTCTATTTCTTTGTGTGTTTGTGGGCCCCTTCAATCGGGGAATCGTAAGACTCGAGTAAGCCGGAACTCCCGTTCGCCTACTTCTTTTTTACGAGCGCGTCCTGGATTTCGACGGTCCCGTTTTCGTGGGATGTTTGCATCGGAGGCCCGCGTCAAATTTCAGATTGGGTCTCGTCATTTTTATGATGGCCCTCGTCAGGCCAACCCGAGTCCCCCGTTCCCGAGTCTCACGTCTCCCCGGCTCAATCTTCCAGGCCGAGATGGAGAAGAAGCTGAGAAAGGTGGCCCCCGCGCGCCTCGCTTCCCCTCTCGCCGCCCCTGCCCCCTTACCGTACGCCTCGGCCTCCTCGTCCCTCCCCGTCCCGTGGCTCCCTCGCCCCCCCTCCTGCGCCTCGTGATCCTCCTCCTTTGTTCCTTGCTCTCTCGCCTCAAGTCGGGCGTGTCCCTCTACAGGGACGATCTTTTCGGTATTCGTTTGATCATTTTGGGGTACGTTCGGCTATTTTTTATTTCTCGTCCAAAATTCACCTGTAGGAGGACACGCCCGACCTAACTTTTCTCTCGCCTCACTTTCCGTTCACCTCCTCCTCCTCCTCCGCGTTTTCTCGTCCTCGCCCTGTCGGACAGCAACGCCAATCAATAGATGATCGATTGCTGGATCGCGCTGCAACGACAAAGGGGCATAGTGATAGTTCGCGACACTCGCGTGCCGGGCGCCGTGGACGGGATGCGTCAGGTTGTATCTTGGGATCAGTGTCAGCCCAAGGGGCTATGTGCGAGAAGACGCCCGCACCGGCCAGTTGGCGTTGGAGCGAAGACTTAGTTGCTTCCTATCAAGTCAAGCCAAAGAAGCATGATTTCCTGAGGGCGCCCTCTCAGACGGCTGCGATGCCCGAGATGCAACCCGAGTGCCCGTGAGAGGTGCCACGCGCGATGCCCGGATCAGTCTGCAGTTAGTCGGGCCTGTCTCTCTACAGGAGGAATATATGAAATATATAGAAAATTGTCCAGGAACGATTGTTGACTAGTTTGACAATCTCGGGGCATTTTCTGTCTGTTTTGTTGTGTGTGTGTTTGTGTGTTCCAAACAAAAAGAGAAAAACCAAACAAACAACAACAACAACCCAACAAACAAAAAACCTTCCAACATCCGCCGGTAGGAGGACACGCCCGACCTAAATCTACAGCCAAGACGCTCTAATAGGGACCGCGTTGGGGCTCCGGAGGGCCTGGTCTTCGGGCCGTTCCCTCGATCCAGGTCGGGGAGCCCCTTCGTGGCCGAGGCTCGCTGCGGCCAGAAAATAGGTCCCTTCGCTCCTCGACTTCCACGCCACTCCGATCCTTCTGTGGCGATTCCCAAGGACGGGGGAGATGCGTCTTGGGGTGTCCATCGGCCAGAAAAAGGTCCCTTCCTTCCTCGACTCCCACGCCACTCCGATCCTTCTGTGGCGATTCCCAAGGACGGGGAGATGCGTCTTGGGGTGTCCAACGGCCGATGGCTCGATGCAGCACCAGTGCCAGTGCCTCATCCTTCACGACCCCTGTCGTCGTCGCCTGAGCCTGGAGAGTCCTGAGCACGACGCGACTCTGCAGCCACGATGCCGAAATTAAGTGGGGCATGTCCCTTTCCAGGGGCAATGCTCAAACATACTCAAAAAATTAGTCTGGGGCGATTGTCTTGAATGTGTTTGACTTTTTTGGGGTATTGTTTGGGGCGATGTGTTTTGTTTGACTTTTTTGGGGGTATTGTTTGGGGCGTTTTTGGAATTCTTCGTCCCACATCCGCCTGCAGGAGGGCACGCCCGACCCGATGCCGAAATGGGGACCGCTCCCCGCCGCGCGGGGGCGGGCGATCTCTCTCGGGGCCGCCCTCCCGGGCCCTCCGCATTCGGGGCATCCACGGGGCACTCCGGGAGGGCTCGGGGAAGGCCTCCGGCATCGAGCGAGCACCGAGCAGCGAGCAGCGAGCATCGAACATCGAACATCGAACATCGAACATCGAGCATCGAGCATCGAACATCGAACATCGAACATCGAACATCGGCCGGCCCTCGAGAGCGGCTCTGGCCCCTCGGGCCGCTCCCCGGGCCCGGGGCGGGAGAGAGGCAGCCGTCGTGGCCGAGCCTCGCCGCGGCCGGAAGAGCGCACGCTGCGTCGTGACACCTCCTCCTCCTCCCGTGAGCTCCCTCGCGGCAGCACGAGGACGGCAGTTCCCTCACGGCAGCACTAAATCGGGCCCCTCTACAGGAGGAGTATTCAAAACAGTCAAACATTTTGAGTTTTGAATATTTAATTTTGAATATTCTTGATTATTGAAAAGTTTTGAATATTCTTCAGTATTTTTGAATAAGCCGGGAACGTTTTTTTGTAGTTTTGATTATTCTTGAGTGTCTTAAGCGTTTCGTCCAAAATCCGCCTCTGCAGGGGGATGTGCCCGACCAAACGGCAGCACGAGGACCGTCAGGCTGCAGAGCCTCGCTACTGAGTCCTGAGTGGATCTCGAGCCTCCTCGGCGGAACGAGCGAGCCGACGGTGCGCCAGAAGGTTACCAGCCTGGAACATATCCCTATCCCTATGCTGGGCACCTCCTCATCACGATGCCAATCTTAGGGATTCCCTTATTTTTTTTGGCGAATCCCTAAGATTGTCATCGCCTGTTGGCGTGTCAATCTTAAGGATAGGGATACGTTCGAGGCTGGTAAGAAGGGCAGCTTGGAACCCTGCAGCGAGTGGTCGTCGAAGAGCCTCGGGCAGTGATGCCGGCGGGCCCCAGGTGCTGTGGCCCGCCGGGGCCCCGCCCGCGAGGGCCCGCGCGACCCCGTGGGGCTCGGGGGAGGACAGAGCCCCCACTCTGACACGTCGATTGGTGAATTGTCCAGAGGGGGAGGAGGGGGAGGAGGAGGAGGAGGGGGATGGGGGAGGAGGAGGAGGAGGGAGGAGGGGGGGGGGGGAGGAGGAGGAGGGGAGGAGGAGGAGGAGGGAGGAGGAGGAGGAGGAGGATGAGGGGAGAGGAGGAGGAGGGAGGAGGAGGAGGAGGAGGAGGAGGAAGGAGGAGGAGAGGAGGAGGAGGAGGAGGAGGAGGGAGGGAGGAGGAGGAGGAGGAGGAGGAGGAGGAGGAGGAGGAGGAGGAGGAGGAGGGAGGAGGAGGAGAGAGGGGGAGGAGGAGGAGGAGGGAGGAGGAGGAGGAGGGAGGAGGAGGAGGGAGGGGGAGGAGGAGGAGGAGGAGGAGGGAGAGAGGGAGGAGGGAGGGAGAGGGAGAGGGAGGAGGGAGGAGGGAGGAGGGAGGAGGGAGGAGGGAGGGAGGTAGGAGGAGGAGGGAGGGAGGGGAGGAGGGAGGAGGGAGGAGGGAGGAGGGAGGAGGGAGGAGGGAGGAGGGGGGGAGGAGGAGGAGGAGAGGAGGGAGGAGAGGAGGAGGAGGAGGAGGAGGAGGAGGAGGAGGAGGAGGAGGAGGAGGGAGGAGAGGAGGTAGGAGGAGGGAGGAGGAGAGGAGGGGAGGAGTAGGAGGAGGAGGAGGAGGAGGAGGAGGAGGAGGAGGAGGAGGAGGAGGAGGAGGAGGAGGAGGAGGAGGAGGAGGAGGAGGAGGAGGAGGAGGAGGCGGAGGAGGAGGAGGGAGGAGGAGGAGGAAGAGAGAGAGGAGGAGGCGCGAGGCCAGTGGGCCAGGGCCGAGCCAGCACGCGGGCAGCTCCGTCGGAGGCCCCCGACGTCGTGGTTCAGTCATGGATCGGGGGTGGGCAGAGCCCCCACCATGACACGTCGATTGGTGAATTGTCCGTGGTCGGTCCTCGAGAGGGCGCCGCGGCCGTCATTGTCCAGGCTTGCGGCCGCCAGGTTTGGGCCCGAGGTCGTTTTCACTGAACCTGGCTTTACTGAAGCCCCGAGGGGCGTGCATGAGGGCTTTTTGTTGGGGTTCTGGTGGGGTCGAGTTGTGAGCTGTTGTTTGTTGGGGGCCGCCTGAACCAGTCACCCAAGGCCTTTGGTGACAGGCTTTGGGTCACGCGGCCTCGGGCCTTGGCAGCGGTGGCACAAGCAGTGGCGATCAAAAGGGGCACGTGCCGCCCGCTGCGAGGCGAGTTGCCGTAGATATGCTCAAGACCTCCTCCTCCTCCTCCTCCTCCTCCTCCTCCTCCTCCTCCTAAAACTAAAACAAACACCTCCTCCTCCTCCTCCTCCTCCTCCTCCTCCTCGTTCGAGCCCCCCTCCCGTTGTCGTCCGACTCGGGGTGCCCCCCCCGCGGACGGCCCGCAGGCCGCTGTTCCTGGTTCGGGCACGGAGTGCGAGGCGCCACGGTGGCCATCCCGAGGGCCCCGCCTCTATGGTCTCCTCGGACCATGAGGTATAGTCCCAGGACCCTCGCAGGTCCATTTGGCTCGAACAGTGGCGCCATCCCGAGGGCCCCGCCTCTAGTCTCCTCGGACCATGAGGTAGTCCCAGGACCCGCGCAGGTCCATTTTGCTCGAATAGTGGCTGTGATGTTTCACGATGCTGCAATGCATTTTTCGTTACGGAGGACCTTGCGGGAGGTTTGGTTCGCAAAGGGGTTCGTGGCCGCTCTCAGGCCGTGGCCCTGTTCAGCTCGACGGGCAGGCGTCGGCGGCAAGATTAGTGGCCGTCCTCTACCCTCCTGGTGTTTCTCCCCTTTTGAAAGTGTTACATCTGCAGCATTCTGGGGCACCCGGTGTCCGCCGTGCGCGCGAGGCTTGCTGCGGGTCGGGTGGCTGGCAACCCACGACCGTGGCTTCTTCGCCCAGGGGCGGATGCGCTGCTGCTCTTCGCGCTCCGTTTCCTCTCCTCACACCCCCTCCCTCTCCCCTTCGCCTTCCCAGCGTTGCGATGCAGCATCTGCCTGAGTCCCGAGTTCGTCTGGACGGGTGCTTTCGGCCACGCCCGCAGGACCATGTCGTCCACGGTCTGCCGTCATTGCCAGGCCAGCTGGCAGCGACCGTTTGGTTCGCCGCCATTCTTTGTCTGTTCTCCTCCTCTTCCCTGTGTCTATATTTCCTTTTCCTTTTGTCCTCGTTTTTCCGCGTGCCGGTTGAGTCTTACGATTTTCCTGGCAGCGCGATTGATTCGTTCTTCGAGTGGATGGGTGAGATGTGGTAGGCTTGCTGAAGGGTGCTTTGCGTGGCAGGAAGAGAGCTCCAGCGTGATTTGTGTTCAGCGTCCCTTGTGGTAGCACGATGACTTTAGGGCAACCTTCTGTGAAACTGTTTGAGACGTTGGGATCGCTCTGGCCCGGTCCCGCGGCACCTGCCCGGTGCGCAGCGCGGGTGGCAGCACGTAGTGCGTAGCAGCGCTTCTGCCCACGACGCGCATCTCCGCTTCCTCACTAATAATAAGAAGAATAATGCTAATAATAATACTATTGGAGAACAACAAGAATAATGATACCAACATATACTAACAATTAATAGCCATAAAAGAAACATATGAGTAATAATAATAAGAAGAAGAAGAAGAAGGTGCCCTAGTCACCCGCGGTGGCGCGAAGATGATCGCGCTTTGCGCGCCGCGGGCGGGGCGAGGGGCGCGAAGATGAGACCGCGCTTCGCGAGGCGCGAAGCGCGGAGGTGTGCGGCCAAGTCGCTGCAAGAAGGACCATCAGGAGGTGAGCCTGTTTCCACCACCACCACCATAAATTGGAGGTGAGATGGAGGAGGAGGAGGAGGAGGAGGAGGACCCCCCCCTCCAACTTACGGTGATGGTGGTGGAAAACCCGCCCATTCGGGTCGCTTCTTGGATCTAGGTCTAACTCGGCACGATGTTTCGTTTTTTTTTGTCGAAAAAAGTCGCTGAAACACAGCCGGGGCGCTGAAGAAGGAACCCTTTTCGTTGGGGAGGGGCTCGGTGTTCCTTAATTCCACACCTTGCCTAAGGTTTTCCTTGAGTTTTCGATGGGAAGTCGAAGTTTGACTTATGAGAAAAATGGGGCCTCGTTTATTACATAGGGTTCCTTAGGTCAACGCCTCGGCTGTAATGACAATCAGGAGGGTCTCTGGTTTTCGGGTCGCTTCTTGGATCTAGGTCGGAGGACCTACTCATGGTCGATGCTGGCAGTGGCCAGAAAATCTCCTACGTTTCTTTCTCAACATTGCTCCTGTAGAGGCCTCCTGGATGGGGGTCGGAGTAGATGTGGTCGAAGGATCGCGCCGCATTGCCGATGCATCGGCGATGCATCGCCGATGCACTGGCGATGCACTGGCGATGCACCGGCGATGTTGGCGATGCATGGGCCCGCCGGCTTGGGGAACATCGGGCTCAACATCGAGTCGCATCGCCGATGCATCTGCGTTGCGGCGCGATCCTCCGACCCCATCTACTCCGACCCCGTCTGGGAGGCCTCGATACCCGTCGGCCGTTGAAAGTAGGTATGTTCAACGATTCAGTTGTTTCCCATCATCCTTCCTCTTCAGGGGGCGTGCGGAAACCCAATCGACTTAAACGAATTGCTTCTACCCACTTCTTCCGACCGACGGGTAATCGTAGCACGCTGACTGTGCGTTTGCGGCTCAATTTCGCGTTTGTTGCCGCGCGTCCTCGTATGTGTCCGCTGCGAACACCGCGCTGGTCCCCCGAGGCCCCTCGCGCGCGGGAGCCGTTGCCGTCGTCTCTATCCTCCTGTGGGCGACGGCACGTCTTCCTCCGTCTCAGTTCTCGCAGCAGCCACTCCTCTGCTGCGACGCTTTCTCTCTGTCCATCTTTTGTTTTTTGTTTGTACGCTTCTCTCTCTCTCTCTCTCGCCTTCTCTCTGTCACTTCGCTTTTCTCTCGCTTTCTCTCGCTTTCTCTCGCCTTCGTTTTTTTTTTTTTTTGTTTTTTTGTTTTTTCTTATTTTTGTTTTTTCTCTCTCTCTCTCTCTCTCTCCCTCTCTTATTTTCTGCGCCGCGAGGCCGCGGTGCAGCGGCAGGAGAGGATGAGACTCTACAAGGAGCAGAAGAAGAGGGAGGACGCTGCCCGCCTGATATGCTGGTCCAGAAGTGCATAGCGCGCCTGCGGGCCCGGCCCGGGCCGCCCGACGAATGAGGGGCCCGGCAGCAGCGCATCTGTGGCGAAATGACACCCCGGGGACGGGACAGCGGACTGAAAGGGGCCCTGTTCCGAACGAAATCGCAACGTCTGGAGGTCTAAGTCGTCGTCAGGCAGAAAGCGAAGCAAAGAACAATCAGACCCAATCTCTTTCCCGAGCTGCGAGATAATATTGCAGTTTGTAAACAAGTGGCTGCAAGCGCTGAACTTCCCACATGAAAGGCCCTGCTGGCAGAGAGAACGCGCTGGCCCGGAGACGGCCCCCGCAGGGGGAGATATCCAGTGGGCGGCGGTCTTCGTCAGAAGAGGAGCCAGGGAGGGAAAGGAGGGCCTGGATGGACGACCTGGATGTTAGTTCGATGCCTGTTGCTGCCGTCTGCCTGCGCCGCGACAAGCTGGTTACCAAAATATGCCCGACCACCATGAGTCTTCACTCGGCATCGCTCGGACGTGTGGCTTTCTCCTTCGGCGAGGATCATCGAGGAGCATCCTTGATCACTTGGCGAAAAAAACACGCACGAAACCGAAAAAAGCACAGGGAACGGACGTCCGAGCGATGGCCAGCATGAGTCTTCCTCGTGGTGCGGGCCGGTCTGGGTGACGGCCCACACGCAGCACCCCCGCCCCGCCGACCTCCCCTGTCGGATGATGGCATGGTTGCTGGGAGCTCCGGGTTATACTATGATTATCAGGAGGGAAAGAAACACACAGACACAATTAATCCTCCATTCCCCAGAAAATATGGAAAACATGGGAAGTGGGGGGGGAAGACAAAAACCGCTAAAATATGAGAGAATATGGGGAATCTTTTTATTTGTGTGTATTTATTTGTGTGTCCCAGGGCCCCTTCAGATTAGGCAAGCGTTTTTGTTGCACACCAGCTCAGCCACAGACGCCCCAGGAGCCACCGAGGAAACTCAAGGAGAGGGGAGGACGAGGACCAGCAGCCAGGGCCAACGCTCGGGGGGATAGGCTCAGGGAGGGACGCATGATCCCCAATCGCCCATGCATCGCCGACGGCGGCCCGATAGCCCACCCCGCGCAGGATCGCACGGTTGCGCCGTCGGGGTTTTGTTGCTCGTTTATCGGCGATGTACCGCCGCTTCCCGAGCGATGTTTCCCCGCCTAAGCCGCCCCCACTTGATATTCCCCTTAGGGCGTTGCGTAATCGAGGGTCATAGATGGGGGGGCGGCGAGGGTGGTCCGAAAAGGTGCCCAAACGGTATCCAAACGAGCCCCCTGGGGCTCCGGAGGGGCCCGAACGGGGCACGAAAGGGGACCGTCTCTGACCCCCTCATTTGTGACCCCCCCAGTAATCCATACCCAACCCCTTGAGTTATGGTGTTCCAACCTACTTTAGCCTTGATCACCAGAAACAGAAATCGAGCACCAAAAGAGTACCGAAACTCGGGGGTTCTCACGTGTCGGGCCCTGGGGGACACTCGCCCGACACTGTTTCGACCCTCTTTCGACACTCTTCCGGGTGCTCGAAGTTAGTTCTGGGATGCGGCCCTGGCGTGCGATGGGAGCAGCAGAACCCTTATAAGGAGGGGAAAAAACACACAGACACAATTAATCGCCGATTCTCACGAAAATCTGCAAACATATGGGCAGAGGGGGGGAAGACAAAAACCCAAAAATAGAAGGAAATATAGGGAATCTTTTTATTTGTGTGTACTTATTTGTGTCCTGGGGACCCTTCAAGAACCCTCGAGGAGGGGGAGAGGCCCAGGGGGGAGATCTCAGAGGGGTGGGGGCGGGGGGGGGGCACCAGCTCCGCGGCTCGAGCGCGAGGCGCGCAGGCCCGCACGCACGCCCCCCCGCGCCAGCGGCCCCCCGCGCCGGCGGCCGCGCGCAGGAGGAGGAGAAGAAGGCCAAGGCGGCTCAGAAGCCGAAGGCCGGCCAGGAGCCGAAGCCGGGCAAGGCCAAGAAGGACCTCGCCTCGGGAGCCTAAGAGACGGGGGTCAGTGCAAGCGGGGGTCAGCCAGGGCGCCGGATCCTGCAGGATCCTGCGAAGACTTCCCTCTGGCTGACCCGGGTTAGCGAGCCGCTCGTGGCCGCGAGGCGGCCGCGCCCATTGGTTGAGCCGGGTTTGCGAAGACCTGCGTTGCAGTTTTTTGTTCCTGCATTGCAGTTTTTGGTTTCCTGCTGACCCGGGTCTGGATTGACCCGGGTCAGAAGATCCCCGACACGCCGGTGCGCTGCTGCTTCTGGCCACGACGATGCTGATGTTCCAGCCTGCTTTCGCCTCGAGCACCCGGAATAATTCCGAGCACCACAAAAGAGTGCGGAAGCTCGGGGGTTTCCACGTGTCGGGCCCTGGGAGACTCGTCCGACACTGTTTCGACATTCTTTCGACACTTTTCGGGTGCTCGAAGTTATTTCTGGGATGCGGTCCTTGAGTGCGATGAGAGCAATATAATCCTCTCCACGGCGACAAGAAGGGGTCATGAGGGAAAGGCAGGGGCAACGTTTGGGGGAGATGGGCTCCTTGGGGAACGCATCGAACTCCAATCGCCCGTTCATCGCCGAGGGGGGCCCGATAGCCCACCCCGCCCACCAACTTGCGGATTCGCTTCGACGACGTATCGCCGATTCAAGCTCGATGTTCCCCCCTGGGCCTGTCCCACCTGGCGTTCCGCCTCAGAGTGGGGTCCTGTGATTTGTCATCGCTTGCTGCATCCCGGGTCCCTTCCTGGGCCGTGCCCGTGAAACAAAAAAACACTTCCGGACGAACACGTTGGCTCCTGGGGGATCGCCTGGGTCAAGTCCTTGGTTCCCCAAGGACCCCGCTTCTCTCATGTCAACGATCGATGCTGAGTGTACCTGCCTCCTTGGGTCGGGGGTGGGCAGAACCCCCACCCTGACACGTCGATTCGTGAAATGTCCGTTTTCGGTTCTCGACCGGGCGCCGCGGCCGCCATCTTCCAGGCTTGCGCCCGCCAGGTTTGGGCCCGAGCTCGTTTTCACTGCGTCACGCCTTGCTGAAGGGGGTTCTGTCCATCCCCGACCCCCCTCCTGGCGCGCCGCGCGCGTGCGCCGGCGGCGCGCGCCGCGGCACGGAGGGGGCTCGGCGACGACGACGACGGCGACGGCGACGACGGCGACGGCGGCGACTGCCCATCCCCGATTGGGAGGGCGGCGCAGGACCACACTCAGGAGGGAAAGAAACACACAGACACAATTACTCGTCGATTCCCCAGAAAATATGCGAAAATGTGGGAAGTGGGGGGGAAGACAAAAACCCAGAGAATATGGGAAAATACGGGGAATCTGGTTATTTGTGTGTATTTATTTGTGTGTCCCAGGGCCCCTTCGCACACGGGCGAGCATAAGTCTCGGACGTCCGTGGACCAGCCCGCAAGCCCCTCCTCGACGCCAGCACTGCCCGAGGGGCGGCGCCGCCCGGGGAGCTGCGGGGGTCTAGGATTCAGTCGGGCAGGTCCCTTTACAGGGGGAGTATTCAAAAGTAGTCACAAAATACAGTCGGGTCGCTGAAGAAGGAACCCTTTCCGTTGGGGAGGGGCTCCGTGTTCCTTAATTGTTTCGCAATTTATGTCAGGTTTTCCTCATGTTCTCGATGGCTAATCAAAGTTTAACCAATGGAAAAAAGGGGCCTCGTTCCTTATTTAGGGTTCCTTAGGTCAACGCCCCGACTGTAGTCCGGGGACGGTTTTTACCATTTCTGGCAATTGTTGAATCTTTTTGCTGACTCTTTGTTTCCTCTCCCAACACCCGCCTGCAGGAGGACATGCCCGACCTAAGTTTGGGACTCCCAGGTGGGGTCGGAGCAGATGGGGTCGGAGGGTCGCGCCGCATCGCCGATGCGGCTCGATGCGGAGCCCGATGTGTCTTCACGTCGACGTCGCCGATGCATTGCCGACGTCGCCGATGCATCGCCGATACATCGCCGATACATCGCCCATGTATCAGCGTATCAGCGATGCGGCGCGATCCTCCGACCCCATCTACTCCGACCCCATTTAGGAGGCTTCTAGGGGCTTGGTGGTCATGTTGGCCGAGTGTCATCCAAGTCCCAGGGCCACCACGAGTTTGCGAAGTTGGTGGCGCGTTGCGCTTCGCGGTCTGGGCGATGTCAGAGCGACCCGCGAGCTCCTCCTCCTGTTCGGAAGCGCGCAGAGGGGGCAGGGGGAGGGGAAGGCTTCTTAGAAGGAGGCTCCTTCTTAGAAGCCGCGGGCCTTATTTTTACAGACAAGGCCCGCGCCGTCTGAGAAGCAGTGGTGTCTCTAAGAAGCCTCCCCCTGCCCCATGGTGCGCGCCGCCAACCTGTTTTTGGGGGGGGGGGGGGGGCGGCGCGAAAGCGCGAAGACAATCGCGAGGTGGTTGCCCTAGAGCAAATCCAGCTGCGCTGCCGCGCGAAGCCGTCGTCGCCGCCCACACGGGCGCCCGGGGGGGAGGGAGGGAGGGAGGGCCAGGCGCAGCGCTGGGGGAACGGGCGCAGTCGAGGTAACGGGGTCGGCGAAGAGGGGGGTGATGATTAGGGGGGGGGGGGATATCATGGCGGGGGCCATGATATCTCCCCAGATTCCAGGGCGCCTCTTCTTATTTCAATGCGTCCCTGGCCCCCCCCCTCCCCTGGGGCCGCGGCACTTGCCGCCGGTCATGACTTGCCCCCCCTCTCTTGGACGCGCCCCTTTCTGGCCGCCCCCTAGGGGGAGGCCCACGCGCCGGATCCACGAGTCCCCAATGCCTGGCAGAGCGCGCCCGAGTCGGCGGGGGGGTGCGCCGATCCCCAGTCGCCGATGAGAGGCTCGATGGCCCACCCCGCCCCTGAGCGTGGGGTCTTGCTGCAGTCGAGGGTCTGGTTACAGTGCCGTTTTTAATACATGCTCCGCGTGCGGATCATGTATTAAAAATGCAGGGATTCAGTATGAAAAGCAACGATGAGTTCATGCATAAATTTACTCATAAATTAATCATGTATAGAAATCATATATATATTGTTTTCAAACAAATCCAATGTATTAAAAACTGCCCTGTAGTAGGTCGGCCTTGCCAAAGCAAGGTTGCCCGTGTGTCCTTGGCGGCACGTGGCTTCTGCATTCCTGTGGCAACGAGGCTCTTTGGAAGGATCTTGTGTTTACTTATGTACCCTCTCCAGTCAAACTCCTACTGCACCGAGGGCACATAGCCCATCTCCGGCGAGGTATCGCCGATTGGAGGTCGGCGTTTCCCCCCCTGGTCCTGGTCCCTACCGATCGGTGACCCGTATTTGGGGAAGGGGGGCAGAAGGGGGGGGCAGGAACCCTACAAAGTCGGGATCGGGGTCGCCAGACCCTTTTTTTTCAAAGGAAGCGACGACCACCGCCACCGAGAACCCAGCGGGAGAGGGGCCGACACCTGGACGGTCGGTGGCACGCCCCAGCGCCACCCAGTACCGGACGACGCTCAGGCGTGCCTCCCAGGGGTGGGCCCCCCCCCGATGCCCCGATGGGTTCTCGGTGGCCGTGTTTGCGTTAGGCAAACATCAGCGATTGGCCTGCTGCGCTCATGTGATGATAATAGCTCCGGCTTTGCCAAGGTAAGAGACTAGGGGAACACCAAGTGACATAAACATTAGAACTCGGAGGTCCGCGCGCCTCCGGCGGCGCGGCGCCCCGGCGCCGCCCCTGGCGCGCTCCGCGCGCCAGGGAGGGGGCCCCAGCGCCGATCCGAGAAATCCGCGCGGACTTGCGAGTTTTTATGTTTATGTCACTTTTGTTCCCCCAGAGACACGATGTCCTCGGCGCGCACCGGTGATAATGGCGGCACTGGGATGCGGAAAAAAACATGGCAGCCCGCTAGGGCGCAGAGCTTGCGCGCCGAGGTCCGCCTCAGGGGTGGTGGAGGTGATCGAGACGTGCAAGCTGGCCACGCGCAGCGGGGGGCAGGGGGAGGGGGGGAGGCTTCTTAGAAGCACCCCTGCTTCTTAGAAGGCGCGTGCCTTCTCTGTACATGTAAGGCCAGAGCCTTCTAAGAAGCAGCCCCCTTCTAAGAAGCCTTCCCCCCTCCCCCTACCCCCCTCTGCGCGCCGCCAAGCAAGGGGAATCATATCAGCGACGGCGGCGGTGGTCCTGCGCTCCGGAGACCGTCAGCGCTCGTCGAGTTTGCTGCTGCGCGGCTGCTCTCTGCAAGGGGGGCCCGCGTCGGCGCGCCGCCGCACAGGAGCCGCACCGCCACGACGCGGCGGCGGGGCCCGGGGCCCAGACGCGCCCCCCTCCCCCCCCTTGGCCCGTCTGGAGACAGGAAAGGGGTGCGGCATGAAGGGTTGTGGTGCCCATGCTGAGTCTGGCGATGTCATCTGTCATGGACAGGATCTCGACTTCTCCACGACTGGCACCGCACCCCTTTATGCCACACCCCTTTCGTGCCTCCAGAGGCTCCCCGCCCCCCCCCTGACGCGCCGCGCGCGTGCGTTGGCGGCGCGCGCCGCCAGCGCGCGTCGCGGCACGGAGGGGGCTCGGCGACGACGGCGACGACGACGACGACGACGGCGGCGACGACGACGACGACGGCGACGGCGACGACGACGACGACGGCGGCGACGAGGGCGACGGCGACGACGAGGACGACGAGGGCGACTGCGACGACGACGGCGACGACGACGACGTCGACGGCGATGGCGACGACGACGACGACGACGACGACGACGACGACGACGAGGAGGACGGCGACGACGACGGCGACGGCGACGGCGACGACGAGGACAACGAAGACGACGGTGATGGCGAGGACGCCGACGCCGACGAATACGGTGACGACGCCGACGAGGGCGTCAACGACGTCGACGATGAGGGCGACGACGGCCCGTTCGTGGCCTAGGCTCGCCGCGGCCAGGAGAGCCCCTTCGCTCCTCAGTAGGAGTTCTTTTCCTGCCAGCGCGGTGACCGCACACCACGTCGTTGGGTCGTCCAGGAAGGACCTGACGAGTACGAGGCTGGGATTTGTCCATACCCTGGGTTTCTTAATAAGCGTGGGGGGGTACCCCCCGACGGGGGTCAACCTCGCCTCGTCGTCGCGCCGCAAGGGGGGTCGGAGCGCCTTCGTTCGGCGCTCGGTGGCTACCCGCGACGGGGGTCGATGTGGGGCTGTCGGCGGGGCTGACGCCCCCCCGACGCTTATAAACAAACTCGGAGCAACCACCGCCTGGGGCACCGATCTGCCTTGACCTCGGGAGGCGGCGGGTGAGGACATGTTTGGGCCCCAGAGGGGGTCGCAGCATATCCATACCCACCGCCCCCCCAGGGTCCCAGGGCATCGGCTCCATAAGCGGTGGATATGGATAAGCCCCCGCCTCGCAATGAGCTCGGCGAAAGATTCGGGCGTACGCGCGTTCCGGCATCCCCATCCGTGCACCGAGGCCCCCTGGCCGACCGTACGAGTTGGTACACGGTGCTGCCTCGCGCCTGGCCGCGGACGCGCGCGCTCGCGGATAGCGGCGGCGGCGGCGGCGACGAAGGGCCTGGAATCAGACGCGCGGGTCGGCGCAAAGGTGGCGGTGGTCAGTCCTCGAGCGCCGTTGTCGGCGGCGGAGGGCCGCGCGCTTTGGTCACCGAGCGCGCTCCACTACTCGCAAAGTGCCTACTCGCAACCGTCCGACAAAAAACAACATGTCTGCTTCGATGTCATGTATCGTAGATCCCCCGCGGCGGATCCAGGCCATTTGCCAGTAGTTACTTTGCGAGTCGTGGAACGCGCTGGTCTTCTTGGAGAGCTCGGAGGCCGGAGGCGCCCTTTTCCAGCGGCAGGCGCGGCCTCTCGCGTGAGAACGCGGCCGTGCCGCATCGTCGGGCGCCCGGCCGCGTGTGCTCGCCGAGCTCTCGCTCTCTCTCTCTCTCTCTCTCTCTCTCTTTTTTTTGTTCTCTCTCTCTCTCTCTTTCTCTCTCCCTCCCTCCCTCCCTCCCTCCCTCCTCCTCCCTCCCCCCTCCTCCTCCTCCTCCTCCTCCTCCTCCTCCTCCTCCTCCTCCTCCTCCTCCTCCTCCTCCTCCTCCTCCTCCTCCTCCCTCCTCCTCCTCGCCTCCTCCTCCTCCTCTCCTCCTCCTCCTCCCCTCCTCCTCCTCCTCCTCCTCCTCTCCTCCTCCTCCTCCTCTCTCCTCCTCCTCCTCCTCCTCCTCCTCCTCCTCCTCCTCCTCCTCCTCCTCCTCCTCCCTCTCCCCCGCACGCCTCTCCCCGCTTAACAGTGTCCAGGGAGTAATACGGCGGCAGGGGCCCAACAACACGGAGCACAACGCACCGCTCCACGCCCGCGTCCCACCACCACCGCTGTTACCTCCCTCGTCGCCTCCCTCATCGCCTCCTCCTCTGCTCCTCCCTCTCCCTCACACTCCTCCCTCGCTCCGCCCGCCCCGTTTCCTCCGCCCCCGTCGCCCCCCCCCCCCCCCTCCCCCCACCACACAACACACCCCACGCATTGTTCCCCACCCCCCACCCCCCCCCCCCCCCCCCCCCCCCCCCCCCCGGCCCCACCACCTGAGAGTCCCCCGAGGGCCCCATGAGCCCGCGTGGCCTCCCTTCTGGCCTCCTTCCTCCCGCCCCTCCTGTTCCGCCCCCCCCCCCCCCCCCCCCCCCCCCCCCCCCCCCCCACACCCGCCTGCTCTTCATCCTCGTCTTCGCCCCCTCTTTGTCGTCGGCCCCCTCCCTGGCCTGTCGTTTTCGTCGCCGTTGTCGTTTGTCGTCGTCTCGTCGTCGTCGTAGCTTTTCCCCCTCCTCCTCCATCTCCTCCTCCTCCTCCTCCTCCTCCTCCTCTCCTCCTCCCTCTCCCCCGCACGCCTCTCCCCGCTTAACAGTGTCCAGGGAGTAATACGGCGGCAGGGGCCCAAAAACACGGAGCACAGCGCACCGCTCCACGCCCGCCCCCCCCCCCCCCCTCCTCCTCCCTCTCCCCCGCACGCCTCTCCCCGCTTAACAGTGTCCAGGGAGTAATACGGCGGCAGGGGCCCAAAACACGGAGCACAACGCACCGCTCCACGCCCGCGTCCCACCACCACCGCTGTTACTTCCCTCGTCGCCTCCCTCATCGCCTCCTCCTCTGCTCCTCCCTCTCCCTCACACTCCTCCCTCGCTCCGCCCGCCCCGTTCTCCTCCGCCCCGTCGCCCCCCCCCACACACACACGCATTTCCCCCCCCCCCCCGCCACCACCACCTGAGAGTCCCCCCGAGGGCCTCCCATGAGCTGCCCGTTGCCTCCCTCTGGCCTCCTCCTCCCGCCCCTCCTGTTCCGCCACCCCCCCACCCGCCTGCTCCTCATCCTCGTCTTCGCCCCCCTCTTTGTCGTCGTCCCTGTCGCTGTCGTTTTCGTCGCCGTTTTCGTCGTCGTCGTCGTCTTCTTCCCCCTCCTCCTCTCCTCCTCCTCCTCCTCCTCCTCCTCCTCCTCTCCTCCTCCTCCTCCTCCTCCTCCTCCTCCTCCTCCTCCTCCTCCTCCTCCCCGTTGTCCCGCCGTCCTCGTGCTCGTCCTCGCCGTCGCGTGCGCCCTCTTCGTCCCTGCCCTCGTCGCCGTCGTCGGTCCAGGGGCCTCGCCCTCCACGGCGCCCCCCCCCGCAAGCGCCCGCCCAGGCCGGCCACGCCGGGCTCGGCGCAGCAGAGGCCATCGGCGACAGCAGGCCCCCGTCGTCGTCGGCCTCGTCGCCGTCGCCGTCGTATTTGTCGTCGCGGATGTGGATGAAGGCCTCGGACAGAAATAGCGAACACTCAAGTCACATTCATGTGTGAACGCCTCCCCCTCCCCCCAATGTTCAAAGTTGGCGGTGGGTCTGATGAGTTGCACCTCGACCGCAGTCTCCCCCGCGCGTGCCAACCTTTGAGTTTGGGGGGCAGGGGGAGTGTTCACTAATTGTTTCCCTCTACCGTATGTTCGCCGCCCGTGATCCCAGGCTCGGGACGATCGAAATGGGTGCGGAAAGCATGGGTGCAAAGGTTGACATCAGTTCTTGCTCATTGGAACAAGGTTCGCTGTCGGTGTCGCCGCGGGCGGTCCCCATTTGAGACAGAAGGCCGGCTGCTGTCGGTTTTAGACACTATGTGCTGTTGGGCATTGCATTAGATTTCCCCGTACCCATTTCGGGCGTCCAGCCAGACGCTTGGATCATCTTCTCGTTGCCAGTCGCGTGCTTGGCGCTAGAGCCGTTCCGCAAGGTGCCCGTGAGCGGAGGGATGCCGAGAGCGTGCGTTCTGGCCAGTGCTTCGCCAGCCTTGGCGCACGTCTGCCACTGCACATGTGAGGGGCTCTCGATGCCAAGTTCCCCTCGCCACCACACTTCAAATGTTGCAGCCAGCGCACGTCCTTTTCAATTATGAAAAATCACCAGTAAGTGCGCGAAGCTACTCGAACCTCGCGCCCCCGTTCTTGGGCTGCAGTAGGATGCAACTCTTGGAATGTTCAGTTCAACATATGTGCTGGTATATCCGTGGCCGAACATGGGAGTTGTCTACATAACTCAGTTTTCTGCCGCTTAGTCCGCTTCGCTCAGTGATGCCAAATGGAATTAGTGTTGGGCTTGCTATGGGGGAATCCCGCGTCTTGATCGGGATCCGAAGCCCCCTCAATCGTTTTTTCGGAGACCTAGGAGTTGATTATGAAACCATCATCGGGGGCGGCGCGAGAGCGTGAAGTCAGGGTGCGCTTCTCTCGCCCCGCGAGTCGCGACAGCGCGAAGTCTGGTGCCCCAGCTCGGGTGGACTGAGCTTGGAACGTCGAGGGAACCCTACTCCCCCAGCATCAAGAGGCGGGGAGGAGGACCCGTGTGAACCCAAGATGCATCAGCGATATTGCGCTAACCCCGCCCTCCAAGTTCTCTCTTCATTGGTCCCTACAGGAAGTTCATGTCATGGCGGGAAGTGCTCCATCGGAAGACAAGCGTTTGAGAACCCTCGCTCGTGCCAAACACAATTCCTGGAACACCAACGCAGCGAATGTTCGTGACTGTTGCGTCTTGACACTCCTAAGCCGCGTCAGCACATTATTTAATCGCTTCGCTCATTCCGCCGGCCCATATTGTCGCACCGTTGTGGGCTAGCCGAGTTTTGGGGGCCGTTTTGGGGCCTCTTGGGGCCTCTTTTGGGCCTCTTGGGCGCCTCTTGGGGCGTCTTGGGGGCCTCTTGGGGGCCTCTTGGGGCCTTTTTGGGGCCTCCTGGGCGCCTTCTGGGGCGGAGGGCTCGATTTTTCAGTTCTCGGTTCCCCTCTTGAGCCCCTCTTGGGCCCGTCTTGGGGCCTCTTGGTCCGTCTTGGGCGGCACTTGGGCCGTCTTGGGGGCCCTCCTGGGCCGTTCCGGGGCCGTCTTGGGAGCCTCGTGGGCCGTCTTGGAGCGGTCTTGGGGGCCTCTTGGGCCGTCTTGGAGCGTCCGGAAGCCGAAAAAGCCAGAACACAAAAAACATAGAAAAAACCAATGAAAATCAACGATTTTGGCCTCTTGGGGCTCTCTTCGGAGGCCTCTTGGAAGGCTCTTGGGGCGTCTTGGAGGCCTCTTGGGCTGTCTTGGGGGCCTTTTGGGCCGTCTTGGGGTCATCTTCGGCGTCTTCGAGCGCTCTTTGGGCGTCTCGGGGGCCTCTTGGGCAGTCTTGGGGGCCTCTTGGGGCACTCTGAGCGCGCTCTGGGGAGCCTGAGAGGCCGCACCCAGAAGGAAAACCATCTCTGAGTAGACTTGGTCGGGCGGTGGTCGGGCGGCGGTCGGGCGGCGGTCGGGCGGCGGTCGGGCGTTGGTCGGGGTACTTTTCGCCGGGGGACCCCCAGGGGCCGCCCCGCGCGCGCGAACTAGAAATACTGTTAATACTGTTAACCAGTTACCGGAGATCTTAGCACGCCCTGGCCCGTTGGGCCGGCGAATTTCTGCGCATCAGCATCGCCCTCCCGAGACGGCAGCAAGCATCCAAGAAGAAGGTGTGCGCCGCTAAAGCGAGAGCCACATTTTGAGCAGGAACAGTTCTCCAGGTGAGAAGCTGCTGCCATATTTCAAGACGAATGTCCGCGGCGCTGACGCATGAGCAATGCTGGATAACACATGCCGCCCTTCAGCCTTGAAGTTGCTGCACATTCGGTAAGAGGAAGATGCGCGGCGCTACAGCGCGAGCCACACTTTGAAAACGAGCCGCCCTCCATGTGTACTCGTGTTGCAAGATCTCGACGAAATAATGAGGTGAAAGCCGCTTTCGAAAAATGGCCGCCCTGCATCCTGAATTTGTCGCAAGTTTCAATCTTCAAGGTCGTAGCTGGTGAGGAAGTCTCATGCGAAGCGCCTGGTCCACCCCACCGACACGTCTGAGGGTGCGACTGGGAGGATTGATGTGAAAAAAAAAGGTGGAGGTGGAGGCGGGCAGCATGGCATTCGGACCTGATACCATCCGCGACAGCGACAGGAGGATGAGGAAGAGGAGGAGGGGAACAGGATGGAATGAGCGAGCCTGGAGAGTCATAACTGTGCATATGACTCCATGGAGGAAGCGAGCCTGGAATCATGCATGTGTATTTGGAAGTTTGACTGACTGAAGAGGGGGAGGAGGAGGAGGCGGAGGAGGAGGAGCAGGAGGAGGAGGAGGAGAAAAAGGAGGATGGAGGAGGAGGAGGAGAAAAAGGAGGATGGATGAGGAGGAGGGAGGAGGAGGAGGAGGAGGAGGAGGAGGATTGGAGGTGGAGGAGGAGGAGGAGGAGGAGCAGGAGGAGGAGGAGGGGGGAGGATGATCAATTACCCAGAGGGATCGGGTCGATACTTCTGGGGGGATCGACACATCTGGAGGGGATGCAGGCGGAATCGGAAGGGATGATGGAACGCAGACGGTGACCGGCATACTAGCTTCTACTCAGGGGGGGAGGAGGAGGGAATGTACAGAACAAGGGGGGAGGAGTGAAAGGAGGTGGGGAGAGGGCGCGAGCGGTCAGAGTGTTCCAGGTGGCTCCAAGTGAGCTTCGGCCAGCCAAAGGGGGAGGGGGGGAGGGGCGAGGGGAGCGGGGGGCGGGAGAGGGGGCGCGCGCTCGCGGCACCGCGCCTCCCTCCCGCCCCTCCTCCTGCGCTGCGCCCCCGCCGCCCTCCTCGGAGGGCACCGCCTGTACGCCTGCACCGATCCTGGCCAGGCCGACCCGTTTGTGAGTTCCCCCAAAAAGTGAAACCCGTTTTTTCAATTCAAAAAATTGAAATGATTTCAAGAACCAGTTTTTGTATTTAAGGCCCAGAACCGGTCCTGGACCCAGCGCCGGTCCTGGCCGGGATCGGTGTATATGTAGGCGGCGCCCTTTCCTGCCTGCTCCTTCGGCCGACCCTGGGCCCAGCACCCGTCCTGGATCCAGCACCGGCCCTGGCCAGCATCGGCGTATAGGCGCGCAGGCGGCGCCCCGCCCCCGCCCGCTCCCTCTGGCTCTTGGCCGCCCCGCCCCCGAGCAGCCACGGCCGACGCCGGGCAGCGCGCGCCGGCCGCGCCGCGCCGCGCCCTGCGGGTCTCTGGACGCCGCGGCGGCCGCCGGCCGCCCCCCGCGCCGGCGGCCGAGTGATGGGCGCGGGGCAGGGCCGGCGGGCGACGGCCGAGCCGGTCGTGGTGCCCGTCACCGCCGCGGCGGCGGCGTCGCCGGCGCAGACGCCGTGGCCGGGTCGGCCACGCCAGGGGCGGGTTGGGCGGGTCTTTCGGGGGAGCCGAGCGTGATACGGGGGGGGGGCCCATGCCAAGGTACACCCGTGCTGGCCTCCAGGGTGCCCTGGGTTTCTTGGGTTTCGACGGTTTTGCTGTGGAAGGCGCGACGTTCCCACACCGAAAATCAATGGACGTCTTGGGGTCTCAGCGTTGGGTTTCTTGTGGAAGGCTCCGAGCAAGTGAGGTCGACGGATTGTGCCGCATCGCCGATGCATCGGCGATGCGGCTCGACGTGGAGCCCGAATTCCCCCACGTCGATGGCACCAGTGCATCACGGATGTATCGCCGATGCATCGCCGATGCATCGCCGATACGGCGCGATCCTGCGACCCCATCAGCTCGGACCCCATGTATGAGCCCTTTATAAAGGAGCGTTTGGGGACTGGAGAGGTCTTCGTCGCCGACGCTGTCGCCGCCGTCGTCATTGTCGTGGTCGTAGTGTTCGTCGTCGGCGTCGTCGCCGCCGCCGCTGCTGTCGCCGTTCGTCGCCGTCGTCGTTCAGGAACAGCGAGCTGGGCACAGGCTGACGAGTGCGACGCATCGACCTCAATCGCCCGTTCATCTCCGATGGGGGCCCAGGAGCCCCGGAGCGTGCGGATTTGCTATCGGGGGCCTAGTACCTATTTCCGATCAATCGACGATGTATCGGCGATGCCAGCTCGATGCCCCCTGAACCAGACCCCCTTTACGTTCCACTCAACGAGGCACGCTCAGACATTGAACGTCGAATGAAAAATGAGCCCTTGCGGCAGAAGGCACTGGACAACCTTGCGCAGTTCACGATGGGAGGCCACAATGGGCATGGGATTTCGGGGGGCCCCGCCCACTTACAGAGCGTGGACCATTAGATAGACCATGTTGTAAATGACCAGGACTGATATTTACTAAGTTTTCGGCTCTTGGGGGCTCGCTGGGACCGGGGTCCGTCGAGAAACGATTCAGGTTGAAAAGCCGGGCCTGGGGAAAGGGTCGGGACTTCCAGGGCTTCCGCATGGACAAACAGCAAGGCACGGGATGTACATCAGCAGGTCCAGAGGCTCTTGGCAGTCTTCAGGCTCCCAGGGCCGTCCCTGAGCCTCAGGGATTGTGGGAAGAGGGTTCCGCGAGAGCGCAGAAAGAGCCAGCGGCCCTCGCGCCTCCGCGAGGGGGGGGGCCCAGGAGTCCCACGAGCAGTCCCTCCAGGGGCCAAGGGGTCGCCACGAGCATGAGGCAACGTCAGCTTGTGCGAGGAGCGAATGGCGCCCGCCCCCTCCCCGAGGCTGATGATGACTGCACCCCGCGGGGCGCGAAGCTGCTTCTGCAAATCACGCGCGGCAGGTGATCGCTTTTTCTTCATTGCTTTGCCGATCGGCGCAGGCCCTCGCACCCCCTCCCCTCCTCCCCCCCCCTTCCTTGGGGTAGATCTTGGCTGTTTCGGGCGCCTGTTTCAAGCAGGTGGAGCCTCCCCCCCATAGGACGCACGGTTCCAAACAGTCGCATGAAGCAGAGGTCCGGAGCCAGACCCCCCCCCCCTTCCCACCCCCCTTCTGCCCAATGTCGAAACGCCGAATATAATTACGCTTTCGAGGAACCCCACGTATTTATCATGTGCCTTGCGTGATGGTAGCTGACGTGGAACGTGCGAGCATGTTGCTCGTGGTCGTTGTTTCGCCAACATCGAAGGTGGCGCGGTTCTAACCTTTGGGGCCTGACATGCCGCGGCGACAGAGACAATTTCCACGTTTGCGACGCTGTTCGCCAGTGCACAGACCAGCGACCCCACCCCCTGCACACGCCGTCCGGAATCGAGCGAATGCCACGCCTGCCACGCTTGCCAAGCTTTGCGAGCGTGCGACGCATAACGACCGCACGCCCACCCTGTGCTGCCGCGAAATTGCCACGCCTGCCGCGCTTTGCAACCGTACGACGGATAGAGACCCCATCCCCCTGCGCACCCCTCTGTGGTGTCGATAAAATGCGCGCCTGCCACGCTTTGCGAGCGTAGGACGGATAGCGGCCCCACCCCTCTGCGCACCCCTTGACATTGAGAAACATCCACGCTTGACACGCTTTGCGAGCGCGCGACGGATAGCGACCCCACCCCCTGCGCACCCCCTCTCGTATCGATAAACTGCACGCCCACCACGCTTTGCGAGCGCACGACGGATAGCGACCCCGCCCCTGTGGCATCGAGAAACATCTACGCCCGACACGCTTTGCGAGCGTGCGACGGATAGCGACCCCATCCCCAACGCACCCCCTTGTTCTGTTGAGAAAATAGCGCGCCGACCACGCTTTGCATGCGTACGGCGGATAGCGGCCCCCAACCCCTCTGCGCACCGTGTTGTGGTGTCGGTAAATTGCGCGCCTGCCACGCTTTGCGAGCGTACGACGGATAGCGACCCCACCCCGTGCACACCCCATTGTGGCATCGAGAGTATGCCACGCCTGCCACGGTTTGCGAGCGCACGACGGATAGCGGCCTCACCCCCAGCGCACCCCTTGTGGCATCGAGAAAATGCTACGCCCGCCGCGGTTTGCGAGCGTACGACGGATAGCGCCCCCACCCCCAACGAAACCCCATTGACATCGAGAAAGGCCACGCCTGCCACGCTTTGCGACCCCGAGACGGATAGAAATCACGGTGACGGACAACCCCTTGCGCACCCCCCCTATGGTGCCGAGAAAGTGCCACGCATGCAACGCTGTGCGAATATTTCGCCCATGTGGGTGCCCAGCATGCGGTGCACACGTCTTGGGTGTATGTTGCAGTGAAAACGCCAGGTTTGCAGTGTCGTTATATGGTGTGTGTGTGGTTGTGTGCGTGTGTGTGTGTGTGTGTGTGTGTGTGTGTGTGTGCGTGTGTGTGTGAGTGTGTGTGTGTGTGTGTGTGTGTGTGTGTGTGTGTGTGTGTGTGTGTGTGTGTGCGTGTGCGTGTGCGTGTGCGTGTGTGTGTGTGTGTGTGTGTGCGCGATGTGTGTGCATGCGTGCGGCTGTATGTGGACGCGTTTGTCCTGTACGTGCCATGCGTGCGTTTCACGCGGGTGAAGCGAAGGAAGGACGAGGAAAAAGGGGAGGAGGAGGTGAAGGTGAACAAGGGTGCGACGCGGGTGTGAAGAAAACCAAACACCCACCGAAATAGATGGGGAAACTTGCTCACCAGGGCTCGGAGGGCTCGGGGTGCCACCGCGCTGCGGCGGAGGACGGAACGCAGGAACGACGCGCCGCTTCCGAGGGGGAGTGCGCCCGCGCAGCGCCGCGCACTGCGTGTGTGAATGTGACAGTGGAGGACCATGCCAAGAAACACCCTGCTTGCCCCCAGGGTGCCCTGGGTTTTTTGGGGGTTTCGATGGCTTTGCGATGGACAGCGTGACGTCCCCATGCAAAGAATCCATGGACGCCCTGGGGTCTCAGGGTTGGGTTTCTTGTGGAGGGTTTCTTGTGGACTGCCCTCCGCTGTACGCACATGCGTTGCGACCTCGTTCGCTGGCCTTGCGGTGCGCGCTGCCCCCTGCATTGGGACTGCGAGCGTGCGCCGCTCGAGGCTCGAGGCTTCGTTCTCAGGCCCTGGTTTCGCGTGCTCGTCTGGCCTGCGATTTGTTTCCGAATGTCCGCCGTCGCGTGGTTTCCCCTGGCGCGTGGTTGGTGCCAGGTGCCAGCTTGACTTTTCCTGGGAGTTGTTGTTCAATAACTCATCTCCAGCATTCATCACCAGGAGGGCGTGGGGAAGGAGGAGGAGGAGGAAAAACAGGAGGAGGAAAAGGAGGAACAGGAGGAGGCGGAGGAGGAAAACCAGCGCAAACCCGGGACGCATCGACGATGTTGCCATCAACCCTCCCGTTTCCTCCTCCTCCTCCTCCTCTTCGTCCTCCTTCCCCCCAGTTCGTTCGCATGCGAAACAGGGAAACAATGTGGCGGTGGGGAGGGCGTCGATGGCGGCGGCGACGGCAGTTGCCTCTGCCGCCCTTCCCTTCCCCAGTCCGTGGCCATTTTGGTCCGTGCGCGCAGAGGCGTTGCGGCGTTTGTTGCCCTCTCGCTGGCGGCTGGGCATCACCGCTAATCGCCGGCTCCGCCGTGGCGCGTTTCCATATGGCGGGCGCCCCCCCGCGATCACGCGCCTCGTTTGTTCGGTTCATCACAAGCTAACATTATGCAAGAGGCTGGGAACAGGCCCGTATCAGCCCGATCGCCACCCTTGATGGACGCAGCTTGAAGAGTGGCGTTCGCCGCTCGGCTTAGCCACCCGAGTGCAGGGTGCGGCTTCCAGATCCACCCTGGAAAACGGCTCTTTCAAACGGAGTTACATCACGGGGGCGCTTGAACGTTCGGAAGGGCAACCGAAGTCCCGACGCTGCTGTGGGTATATCGCCGATGCCCGTGTTCTCTAGGTGGCTACCAGAGCCCCACGCAACTGTGGCGGTTCCGGGCTACGTGAGCCGCAGTTTTCTCGGGCGTGGCATGAGGCTGTATGGGCCGATTGCGCGTGAATTCACGCAGGCACTCTGGGCACCCCTCCCCAGGGATGGGCCGCGCGTGTCACGCGCGACCATTTCGGGCTTTCTGTGCCGGCCGAAACAAATGATATTTTCAAGAGGTGGTCGTTGGAACTCCCCGCCCATTCTCCAGTGCCGTTTTGCATCCGAATCGTCTTGTGTGAAAATGACCCCGAGGACAGCGATGGCCCCCGGATGCCAGAATGACGGGCACCTTGTCGTCGCGATTTTCAGCACGACGCGAGGATGGCCCCCCTAGTTCTATGGTTCAGTCGGGCGTGTCCCTCTACAGGAAGAATATTCAAAACAAAGTAAAACAAACAATGGGAACGTTTTTACCTATTATCTTTTGAATATGTTGGGGTATTTTGTAACTGTTTTAAAAGTTTCCTCCTGAATCCGCCTGTAGGAGGACATGCCCGATCTAATTCGATGCTTCCCATATGGGGTCCGAGTAGATTCGAGGGTTGCGAAAAGTGCCCCCGGCCGAAGGTCCCCCCCCCCGAGTTGTCGCTCAATTCAAGAGCTCCCCCGAGGCCGCCTTGGCCTCGTGAGGGGGTGCTCTTGAGGCCGCGGGGGGCCTCCTTGGACATCCTGGGGGCACCGTGTGGGCCAGGGGAATTTGTTTGGCCTCCCACATGGGGTCCGAGTCGATTTACGTCGGGCATGTCCCTCCACAGGAGGAATATCCCAAGATAGTCAAAAGAGTCTCGGGAGGATTTTCCGTCTCGTTTTGACCATTTTGACGCATCGTTGAATTATTCCAAATTTTTCCTCCAAGATCCGCCTGTAGGTGGACATGCCTGACCTAACCCTCGTGAGGGGTGCGCTTGAGGTCGCGGGGGTCTCCTTGGAAATCCTGGGAGCACCTTGTGGGCCAGGGGCATTTGTTTGCCTCCCACATGGGGCCCGAGTAGATGGGGTGAGGGGACCGCCCTTGCGATGCGGCTCTATGTGGAACCCGATTTTTTCCACGCCGTCATCGCCGATGCATCGCCGACGCATTCGGCAACAAATCGTGGGAGCCTCGTTTGCAGTCTCAACTCCGTCTTTAGAGTAGCGGACTGGCGCGCGTCAGCGTCTGGTAACCGATGGAAACGGGCCAATTAAACGTTGGGCGTCGATTGGCGTCGATTGGCGTCGATTCGCAACAGCCAGCATGATGGCATGGGAGGCCCCCATGAGTTGCCACAGAAAAATACACCAGCGATTCGCCGCGATCCTTCGATTCGGCGGCGATCGTAGGGGAGGAGTAAGACCGAGGAGGCTTTCTCAGAAGGCGGGGGGGCTTCTCAGAAGCCCTCTGGCCTTTGAGAAGTCTCTGTGTCTTATCGGAGAAGGCTGAGACAATTCTCCAGAAGGCCTGAAGACTTCTGCATCTTCTGACAAGGCCCGCTCCTTTCGCTTCAGCCCCCAAGCTGGCCGCCCATCGACACATCATAATGCTAATAATGATATGAATGATAATAACACTAATAATGTCAATAACAAGTATGCTAATAATAACATTAATAATATTACTAATAACAATTATAAGGATAATAATAATAATAATAGTAACAATAATAATACTACTAATAATAATACTAATAATACTAATAATACGAATAATAATAATGTAATAATAACAGTACTAACAATACTAATAATAATAGTACTAATGGCACTAATAATACTAATGATAATGCAATCGTCGATTCCCAAGGAAAAGTGCGGTGAACCACGGGAGATGGAGGAGAAAACGACAAACCATAGGACACGAAATATTTTGGGAGCCAAGGAAATCGTGTCTATTTGTCATGGCGCCAACATCGCAGGGCGGATCTCGTTCGGAAAACGATAGGGTGGGCCCGGAGTGTCCTGGAGACGTTTCTCGCTCGCCGCTTCGGGCAACAATCCATGCAGAAATCCACGCGGAAATCCGCTGCAGCACGTCTGCAAGGCTGGTGCAATGATATTTGCCTGTGCCTCCCTGGGCTCCTTCGAGTACAGGGTGGCGTGGCCCGCCGGCCACGGCGGCCCCAGCTGGCGGTCGGGGGCGGCCGGGCGTGCGGCTTCGCCCTCTGGCCGGCCAAGAGGAAGGAGCTGCCAGCGCTGCTGGCCGCCTGGGCCGCGGCGGCCCCCGAGGGTCCCCAGTCGAGGGAAGGAGCGCGATGACTTTCAGCATCGGTTCACCGATCCCCATCCCCATCCCTCTCCAGTGCGGGCAGTACTTGTATCTATATCCAGAGCGTCTTGGACTGTTGGGGAAGGGGTGCCGCAAGGCCGAGGTGCCCTGGACATGGGTAACAATCGAGCCTTTGGGGGCCAGATGTTTATCCATATCCAGTGCGCCTCCTGTTTCCGGGGAAGAGAGCCCCAATTTCCAAGATGCACTGAATGTGGATATAACTATTGCTCGCAGCCAGGCCTCTCAAACGGGGTCCGAGTAGATGGGGTCGGATGGTTGCGCCGCATCGGCGATGCGGCTCGATGTGGATCCCGATTTTCTCCACGCCGACGTCGCCGATGCATCGCCGACGCATCGCCGATGCTTCGGCGATGCATCGCAGATGCACCGGCGATGCAGTGCAATTCTCCGACCTCGTCTACTCGGACCTCGTTTGGGAGGCCTCTCATCCCGATCCCCACCATGCCACCACCCCGTTTGGGGATGTGCCCCTCGAATCCCGAAGGGAGCAGCCTAGATCCCCATCTAGGAGGTGATCGTTTTTTATTCATTGTTTTGCCGATCGGCGCGGGCCCTCGCACCCCCCCCTCGCCCCCCCCTCTGGAGCGGATCTTGGCTGTTTTGGGCGCCTGTTTCGAGCAGGTGGGCCCCCTCCCCCGTAGTGCGCACGGTTGCAAACAGTCGCGTGAAGCAGAGGTCCGGAGCCAGACCCCCACCCCCCCTTATCCGCCCAATGTCGAGACGCCGAATAAGAAACGCTCACGAGGGTAAATGGGCCAGTGGGGCCCAGGCCACGCCCGTGGGGATTGGTATCGGGGAAGCGCTGCTCCTGCACAGGGGAGGAGAATCTACGGATACCCCGACCCCTGGCCTCGCTGTCTCGCCTCTGCGTGCCCCCCGGGAGGCCCTCGTCGCCACGGCTGGGTTCGCCTCGAAATTCTGTGTTGAGTGCGACACCCCGGGAGAGGGCTGGGGGAGCATGTAGGGTTAAATCGGGCATGTCCCTCCACAGGAAGAATGTTCAAAAATAGTTTAAAATAATCAGGGAACGTTTTTTTCCTATATGTTCTGATTATGTTTGTGTATTTTCTTGACTAGTTTTCTATTTGTCGCCCAAAATCCTCTAGGGGGACATGCCCGACCTGATATTAGGGGTATCGGTAACTTTTGGTTGTCGCGGGATTCCGTCGACGCCGATCACGGTCCATGCCAGCCGTCGCCCATTCGCGAGGATGATCAACGAGTTGACGCTGACCACGAGTGACGGTGACCAAGACCGACACGGACGTTTCAGCATTCAGTCTTGTTCCGGGCGATCCACAAAGTGACGATGACCACGATGGACGGTGATCGACACGGACGTTGCCGCGTTCAGTCTTGCTCATGTCTGCGGCGCGCCCGGGGGGGGGGGAAGTGAGAGGGGGCAGGCCTTCTCAGAAGGCGGCAGGGCTTCTCAGAAGCCCTCGCGCCTTCTGGGAAGCTCTTTGTGCCTCTGTTGACGGTTCAGAAGACGTGCCTCAGGAGGCGCGAGGGCCTCTGAGGAGCCCCGCGGCCTCCTGGGAAGTCCCGCCCCCCCCCCTCGCTGCCCCCCCGGGCTCGCCGCCGGTCATAGCCGCTGCTCTCTTTCCCCCCGCCCGCGGCGCGTGCTCGAGTCGATGGCCGCCTCGCCGCTCCCCGAGGGCTGGCGCGCCTGGGCGCTCTGCGACCCGGCTGGGCTGCCGGCGGGCGGCGGCGTCTACATGGTGGCGCCGCCAGCGGCGGCTCCGCAGCTCGTGGTGCTTCGTGAGGGGCAACGATGGGGGGGATAGGCACCGAGAGGGGGGGATGCAGCGACCCCCGATCGCCCATGGATCGCCGATGGGGGCCCGACAGCCCCGACCTGCCCAGGAAGGTGCGGACCCACTATCAGAGGCCTATCGCCGATCTATCGTTGAGACTTACCCGCCTTGTCTATCGTGTATTACTTCATTTGATGGGGTTTGATGCCCCCCAGGTTGCGCTTTCAAGGTTGATAGTTCGATGGGATGAACACGCCGCTTGTCTATTTCGAGTTGGGGGTCTGATGGGTAGGCCAACGCCCCCAACACAAGTTGATCACAGTTTGGGGTGGCCTTACATACCATCAAACACACACACAATACAATTTAAACTTAATGTTAGGAACAACGCGAGCCGCTGTGTGTGCACTTACAGTGCGTGCGAAGCTGTTTGGGCCCCTCCTTCGGATTCCCTTGGGGCTTCTCAGTGGTTCCTGCCTGACCCCCTATCGGGCCCCTGACTCTCAAGGCGCCTCCCCTTGGGTCCCCTCTTGTGGTGCCTCCCTTGGGGTTCCTGCTTGGAGCCTAAATAGTAAGTAGAGAAGTATGGCCTTACATGACGGCCTACGCGCGGTGCAACCTATGTGGTGCAACCATTGGTGCCAGTAGGTAAGATGCTGGTGCGATGCAGCCAACACGCGTGCAAACATCAACAATCGCAACAGTTCTCACGTTGACATGCGATTCCGAGAGTTGACGCCCCTTCCACCGTAACCATTTTTTTATCAAACCGTTTACGGCCTGTGCGACTTCTCGAGTCATGGCGTCTCCCTCGCCTGAGCAGTGGCTCAGCGACGAGGAGTTCAGCCCTCTCAGCGTGCCGACGCCTGCGCTGGAGGCGCCGCCGCCCGCGAGGGCGGGCGAGGACAGCTGCAGTCAAGAGGAGGACTGGCTGGGCGCTGCTGACGTGCCGCCAGGGCTCGCGGAGGGAGGCTCTATCGTGGCACTGGAGCCGCGGGACACTGCGCTGCCGTTGGCGGAGCGCCAGGCCGCAGCAGGGCCGCCCTTGGGGCAGCGCGCCGCCGTCGGCCCGACCGACCCCATTGCCAGCGTGGCGACTGTGATGATTCAGCGGGTGTACCCAGACACCTCGCAGCCAGTTGGCTTGGAGAGCGCTTCGCGATTGTCTTCTCGACTCGGCCTCTTCGCGAGTCGATTTCGCGAGAAGGTGTATGCTGTTGGGCACGCCGCGTGGATGACTGGCCGAAGGCATGTTGCTGCCATCGTGCCGAGACTCCTGGCCGTCTGCAAGGCGTCGCGCTGCCCAGAGGCTGCTGGCGGCCCTCGGACGGATGCTGTCATTTTCTTCCGCAAGAGGAAATACGACGGCACGCGCAGCCGAGTGACCACTCAGGTCGCCCAGCAGTATGACACCGACACCATCGTCGAGAGATGTGCTGGCACACGAGAGCTGTTTGTCATCAAAGCTGGTTTCAACATGGTGCTGCGCAAGCGTTTCGGGGACAGAGACGACTTCCTCCATGTCATTGCCAACACCCCCACGCACATTGGTGTGCTAGAGTCGCCGACTGCGGAGATCATCAATACGTGTTTGCATCGGCAGCTGGACCAGGTGTATGACAGACTGGTGGATGAGCGGATCCCTCGGCAAGTGGATGTCATCATGTGCGACGGCGCAGGAAGCAACCTGAAGAACGAGCGCATGATGACCGTGCAGCACCCTCTTCGTGCCCAGATTCTGGTCATTTGCCGCGCCCACGGTAAAAAGAAGGTCGCCGAGCAGGGCTACGCGGTCCTCCGCCCCACCGACAGCAACATGATACGGTGTCAGCTGACTTTGTCCTCCGAACACCTCATCGCTGTGCGGCACAGCGCCAGGCTCATCCACGATGAACAGGTTGTGGTCCGCGTGGGGTGTTGTTCTGCCGAGGCAACGGCTCACAGGGAGGTTGTGTTCGACCTTTACTTTGGCGACACCGCTGACGCTGGTCTCCAGTTCAGAGAGGCTGTGTGCAGGAGGCTCTACAACGGCGACATTCGGAAAACTGGTGTCATCGAGCATTACTGCAACGGGTGTTGCCGCAGTCGAGACCACGCGGTTTTTTTGATGCGCCGTTACGGCGTGGCTGCGCTGTTTGGGTCTATGGACGTTCTCAACCGTGCGAACTGGACGAACAAAATGAAGAGCCATCGTTGCATCGGCCTTCCTTCTGCAGTCCACGGGCTTCTCCAGCAGGCTTACTTGCGCGGCGTGCCAGAGCCTCAGCAGGCCAAGCGGCGGCGCCAGCAGGAACCTGAGGCGCGAGCTCAGCCCGACGAGCTGGCTGCCGCTGGCCACGACAGGGGCCCCGAGCCTCCAGGGCTACCCCCAGCTCCTGGGCGCGAGGCCGATGATGACGGCGACGGCGCTGATGAGCTCAGCGCGTTCAGGGAGGAGCAGAACGTCAGGATCCTCGGCACCAGGGCGTGGATGCGCAGCGGCAGGTTGGCGGATGATGTGTTTATTGCGTCCCGCATGGTAGCTCTCACGGACGCATACCTGCTGAAGCAGTTGGCAACGTCTGGCGTTTCCTTCGAAAGGCTGCAGCAGCTTAAGGTGTCTCGGGGCGAAGCGCGAACATACCAAGCTTGGCTGGCGTATGAGGACGCTGACACCAGATGCCTGCTCAAGGACGCGTATGCTGCTATATTCGATTCGTCAGCTTGGGCACCTGTGCAATATCGTTCTGAAGAGACTGCGTTGACAATTTATCGGCTTTTGGCTCGAATGGGGGCTACAGCGTACCATCTTGTTTTCAGGAAAAACCGTTCATGGCCCATGAAATTGTTTTACGCTTTGAAGGATCCTGGTGTTATCGACGAGCTGCGGCGTACAGAGCCGTGCCTGCTGGATTCATACACAGAGAACTTCTTGAACTTCTACAGAGGTGCCGAAGGCTCGGCGACGGCCATGGCCGAGCTCAAGGGCGCCGTTGTCCTGCTTGACACGGACACGGCCGACGTGGAGCGCCTCCATTCGGTCAATCAGCGACACGCTCGTTTCAGGGTTTGGACGCACGTTGAGACTGTTGAGGAGATGAGCGCGCATTTTGCAGCTCATTCGGCTGGGGATTTGGGACCAGACCCATCACGTCACGACCGAGGCCGCGCCGCGTGCGAGCCCAGGGCGCCGAGGCCGCGTCACCGGCCTCAGCGCGGGCGGGGCAGCCTGAGGTTCTGGATGTGGCGAGCGTTTGTGCACGTGAACGGCCGCTGGCTGGATAAGGAGACGGCCGCCGCGCTGTCGGATCAGTTCAGGCAGCTGGATGGCGAGGAGCTGGAGCATTTCAGGTTGCTCGCTGCGATCGCCGGGGATCGGCACCGTGATGGCGAGCGCGCTTTCGAGAGGAAGCCGCGTGCCAACGCGGTTCCACCTGCCGATCGCGGCGTGCCTGCGTTGGGCTTTCTGCCGCATCAACAGTGGCGGCCCCGACAGGACGCTCTCCCAGCAGAGGGCCACCGAGAGCAGTCCGCATTCGCAGATGTACCCTCGCCGATTCTGGAGGCCGCATTCGCGGCTAGAAAGCGCGTCCTCTTTCTTCGGCGTCAGCGGGCTTCGCGTGAGGACGCCGTTGCTGGATTGGTGAGCAGAGCGAGCACTGCGATCAAACATGATCGGAGGACAGCGCCTGACGGCACGTTTGCGATCGTGGATGCTGCATTGGCGCCGACTGGAGATTCTGATGTTGACGTTGACGCTGGCACTGTTGTGAAGTACCGCAGGCGGCCGCAACTTGTTGCTGACGATTCGGCCCGCGCTATCAGCGCGGCTGGGGATCTGTCTGCAGCGCAGAGGGCTTTGGACTGGGAGGCGATGCACCAGACGGTGACGGCTGCCAGTTGCCCCCCCTGCCACCCTAGGATTCCCATCGTTCGTCGGCGATGTCATGATGCTGAGATGTGCGTTCACAAGGGCGACGGTTTGGAGTTAGCGAAGTTCGAGGCACACATCAAGTCTGCTTTTCAGCGGTGGCGCAGTGCTGACCGCAAGCAGACGAGGGCCATTCTCGTCAAGGGTGAGGTTGTACTTCGTTTTGCTTTTTTTGCGGCTCATGCCCCTTCAGCCGACTTACTTCATGATGAGTTGTTTTCCGATGGGCCCGCGTTGGCCGCTGGCGATGGTGATGAGCATCGTTTTTCCATGTTGCATTCCACTATTCGAAGCCATTTGGACCTACACTTGTTGAGTTGGCGCGAGATTCTTCGAGAGATGATGCAGAGGCCCTGGGTATATCGCCCATGCGAACGCACGACCCTACGCAGTTTTGGCGTTCGTTGTGGGAGATGGCCAAGTCATTTATTCCAAAATCTTATATGACAATCAGTTTTTGGCAGTTTCTTGGTAGATCCAAACGTGTCCACTTGATCGAGCCGTGGAAGTTGTATGTCAGGAAATTGTCGGAGGAGTTCGGGCCCCAGCTGAAGAGGCCACGCGCTCGGCGGACAAGTCAGGGCCGTCGGGGTCGAGGCCGCGGGCGCGGGCCTCGTGGCGGATCCAGGGGCAGAGGGCGGGCGAGGCATTCTGCAGACCCAGTCCAGCCTTCGAGCAGATCGGGTTCGCCGTCGGGTTCGACGTCGTCGAGTTCATCGTCGTCGAGCTCCTCGAGCTCGGGCGCCGACGATTCGGACGGCGGCCGCATCCCCGACCCAGACGAGACATCCTCTGATGACGGAGAGGGAGCTTCGGGCGCCGAGGACCGCGCGGAGGCAGGGGGCAGCGGAGAGGGCGAGGGCGGCAGCGACGGTGAGGACGGGGACGACTGGATCCCTGTCGGCGCCGACGGCTTGGAGGCTGCAGTCGAGGGTGCCATCGACTCTGCGATCGGCATCGTCTTCGGTGACGACGAGCCCCCATTGCCGCCGCCCGCGGGCCATCCGCCGCCCGCCCTGCCAGCTGCGGTCGGAGATGGCGCCCCTCCACCGCCTGAACCAGTTGAGCCTGCGCTGGTGCCGAGGGGCGTCGGCAAGCTTCCAGCGGAGCTGATCTGGCGCTACAAGAGTGGTGTCATCAGGTATTACGGCACCACGAAGGTGATGGTGGCGCACTGCCTCGTGCCGTCGCACATGGAAGGGCCAGGCTGTTACCTCACGCGGTCGGTGAGGCCCAGTCCTGCCAGCAAGGCAAAGGGCCGTTGCCTTGGCTTGCTCTGCAGTTGGCTGGAGGTCACAGAGGCGACTGGCCTCACGCGCTGGGACCACGTTCACGCCTGGAAACCATCCTGGGAGGATCGGCGGCGTGCGAGGCAAGAGGCGATGGGCCTTGGCATTGATCTGGTTGCCGCCTTCGCCTCCAAAGAGCGTGGTGAAAATGATGGCGACCGAGGTGGCGAGCCCTTGGGGTTGCCTTGATGGCGTTCAGGTGGAGGCCCGCAGGAGTTGGGCTCGTCTCCGCCTTGAGCTAAGTACAAACACGTGCGAGCCAAGATGGCAACAGTAGTGGGAAGGGGAGGGGGGGGGGGAGGTCAACCTGAGGCTGATCCCACGGGAAGCCGACGCCCACGCATATGACTCGCCCCCCGCCGAAATTTCCAAAGCAAGCCCAGGGCCCGTCCGTTCGACACCTCAGGTGCTTCTCAGGGGTGTGTTCCAGGTCCGCCGAAACTACTTCACGCTTCGGCCCTAGTTTGACTTCCCAACCTTCTCTTCCCCAAGGCTAAGCATGTTTATCGCATTCGGTTGTTACCCACATGCCTTTCGGCAGCTCCCGATGGCCCCGCGCGGCTTTACCTACAACGCCGCCGACTCAGACAAGGAACCCGAAATCGAACCCGAGCTGATGGCACTGCCGAAGGATCGGGGCATTCGGCGGGGTGAAGGGGAACGACGCGCGAAGAGAACGGTGAGGATGATGGGGGCGAGGGGTGGTCGACATGGAGGTGATGGATGGGCGAGGGGAAAGGAGGAGGGAGGATGACGAAGGAGAAGGAGGGCTATGCCGAGGACGATTGCGGCGGTTGGGGAGGAGAGGTGGCGGAGAAGGAGGGAGATGGGGGCGCGGGGTTGAAGAGGGTGCGGGGGCGGGGGCATCCTGGTCAGGATGGTGGGCGATGGGCCATGTGGAAGGGAGAAGGAGGACTGGCGGTGGCTGGGTTGCGGCGGTGCTTCTTGGATGTCCGTTGGGGTTTTGTGACGCCGAGGGGGGCACGCGTGGGTAAAAGGTGAATGGGTGAGGGGGAGTGGCGTTCAAGGCGTAGGGGGTGCTTGCGGGAGGCCCCTTCAGTGCAACCCGTAGCGCGCAATGAGTCTTGTGGCCTCGGCAGGACCAAACGAGGTCTCCACGGATATCTTGGGGGGGCCGTGGTGACCTCTCTGGCTCTAGGTGGCCTCTCTGTGCTTCTTGTGAGGAAGCCCAATGGCGCTTCTTGGTGGCGGCCGTCGGTTCAAGGCCGCGTCATGACGCCACCACGTTGGGTTCAGGGTGGTTCTTGGGCCAATCTTGGGCGTTGTCTGTGCCGTTTCGGCGCCGTCTTTGCCAGCTTTGGAGGGGCGCCCAGGCAGCATGGCTGCGGGGGGTGGAGGGATACCAGTCTACTTTAGGATGCGCGTGCCGCGGCACGCGCGGCATCCCTGCCTCGCGTGGTCGCGCTGCCAGCGCGGCAATGCGGCGCGCTCAGCTAGCGGCGCGCGCGCAGCTTGGCGCATGCCGACGCAGTTGCGTTCGACGGCGCGGCGGTCGGTGCTGGCGCCGCGACGCATCCTGAACAAGGGCAACGTGGATTGCGCGCCAAGACAGAATGGAGCTCGCACGGCGACAACGACGACCGAAAGCGAACGAAACCTGCGTCACCGTCGCACCGCGGCGCCACGGTTCGCCCCGTGCGCAGGCAGCGTGGAATGCACCCGCAGCGCGCATTGCGCACCACGGCTGGCGTTGATCACGCGTCGCGCTTCACAGGTGCATGCCGCGCTTTCCAAGCCGCCGACTGGCGGCTCCGATGCCAGCTCCCAGCGGGGTCATGGCTGTCTCGGGCAAGGCCGCCGTTCACGGCAAGGCGCCACGCGCAACGTGGGCGACCGTGCTTTACATCGGCGCTACCGCATGAGACATAGCCGCGCGTTAAGGCGCGAGAGCCCCGACGGCGCGGGAGGGCGTTCAACGGCGCGGCGGCCTTGCGCGGCATCGCGCTGCCGCAACCGACAGTCGCCGTCGCCGCGTTCTGCGGCAGACAGCCGCCCCGCCGTCGTTGCAACCACAGCCGTCGCCGAGCGTCGTCGACGCAACGGCCGCCATCGCGCGGCTTCGCCTGAATGCATCGACTCAGCTCGGCAATGAAATTCCCGCCGCTGCAGGATTGGCCGGGGCGCCCGAAAGTTGGCAAATTCAAGACGAGCTGCGGGTACGCACGAGCGTCGCAACGCAACAGGCCTCTTCGCAACAACAACGAGGATATTCAAGTGTTGGTCGTGGGGCGCCCACCCGGCCGCAAGTATTGTCCACCGCGTGCAAGCCGCGCAGGGCGTCGGTCAACCTCCTCACCGTAGCCTATCAACCGCCGCGCCCGCGCCGCGCGACTGCCAACTTTGGAGGGATGCCGCCACAAGCGCATTGCGCCCTCTTCCAAGCGGCGGCATCTGGCGGCTGCGGCGGACCACCGTGGCCACTACCGCTGCCAAGCGGTCGGTGGAACACATGAACGAGGAGATTATGTGCTGCGCGGCGTAGCGCAGCCGCCGTCAGTTGCTTGGGGCGTCGCAGCTGTAGCCGCGGCGGCGCAGTTGACGGGGTCGGTCGGGGTGGAAGGGGCGGCAGGGTTGCGCGAGCAACGCGCCGCGACAACATTGGGCGCGTTGCCCGAGGGAGTCGGCAACGACGCTTCCCGCCGCGGGCGCGAAGACGAATGGCGCGGGGACGCGGCGCACCGCCTGCGGTGCGGGCAACCTCCGACTTGCATATCCGCCTAGGGCGCTGACCGCGTTCAAGTCCGACGTGCAAGACAAGGGTCGGGGCTGGGTTTCGGGCGAGTCGTCGCGCGCATCCACGCGTGTTCCGACGCATTCCCGCGAACGCCGCTTTTGAACCGCCGGCGGCCGTGCGTGCGACCGCGCAAACTCCGCGCGCGCGCATGCGTATCTACGGTGCCCGAGCGGCGCGGCGCGCCATCGGCTGCGCCACAGCGTCGCTCGCACCGTCGGGCTCTTCGCGCGATGCAATGCCAACGCGGGCGATTGAAATTGCGGCCGCGAGGCCGCGCATCTGTCTGTTCGCCGCCGCGAGGGCCCGCGGCGCCATCGCCCATTGCCAGCGGCAGCGGCTGAGTTCGCATCGCGCGTTGCGGCGATGGATATGATGCCGCGCGAATGGGGCGGGCGCTTGCCCAGCGGCGGCGCAACGCGCAATGCGGGCGCAGTGGCCGCCGCGGGCGGCAGTTGGAATAATAGCGGCTGCATCGCAGGCGAACGCGGCTACTTGCGGAGCGGCCACGCGCGCGCGGAGCATCGGCTACAATAGCCATGCGCGAGGCGAGAGCGAGCGCGACGACAGCGACCGCGCACGCGTCGGCTCCAACGTCCCACTGCGTGCTTCAACGGCTGGCGGCATGGGCTGGGGAACGACTTGGACGACCAAGGCTCGGCGCTGGCGGGGCCGCCGACGGTTTCATGAGCAAGGGGCGCCACTCTTCGCGGCAATCGCGCCGATTCAGGGGCTGCTGCGACGCCAATGCGCCATTGCGGCGCGAGGGGTTGGCACTCCGCAAGCGCAACGGAGCGCGCCGCTACAGTGCAGGTCGGTCCCCGCCGCCGCGCGCAAACCCCGCCTAGTCTGAGGTGGGCAGGTCAACCATCTGATCACCTCCGCCCGCCGCCACCGCTCGCTCGGCGCCATGGCGCGCGCGCCGCAACGCCAGCGGCCGCTCCCCCCCCCTCCCCCCCCCCCTCTGGATCATCGCCAAACGTACTACGGCGGGGCGAGCACGTGGCGGCGGCCATCGAACCACCATCGAAAGGTCATGGTCATTTTTCAGCACCAGGAGCGACGTCATCAAAATCCATCAAAACCTCATCGCACCCCCCATCGAAACCTCATCAAAACCGATCAGGCACCCATCGGCCGCCCGCCGCCGAGAACGTCATCAGACGTCATCAAAACCCATCAACAGTCATCAAAACCCATCAAAAGTCATCGTCGATTTCAGCGGCGCGCGGCTGGGTCATCAAACGTCATCAAAAGGTCATCGAAAGGTCATCAAAAGGTCATCGAAAGGCCATCACCGAATTTCGACGGCACGCGGGGGGTCATCAAAGCCCATCAGAAGGTCATCGGGCCCTCCACGCCAGAGGGCAAAGCCCCCCCGCGCGGCCATCGGACCCCCCCCCCCGTTTGCCGCGACCGCCATCGGATCGTGGCGCGCGTCTGTGAACTGCGTGCGGCGCCCCTCGTGGCCCTGTGGGGAGCCGAGGTACCTTCGGGGCTCGGCGCAGGCGATCCCTTGGGCCACTGGCGCACGCCGCGGCGCGCGTTCGGCGCCCTCTCACCTCGGTCAGCGGCGCTGGGCTGCCCTGAAGCGGCTTGCAGGGGCATGTGGAGCTTGCTCCGCCGCCTCTCCCAGCCGAACCTCGCCGCGCCTCCCCGCCGAGCTCGCCCCGCGTGGCGCGTTCGTTGCTGCGCTCCCCCGACGCCGCGCTCGCGGCGCGCCACCCTCCCCCCTCCTGCCCATCGGTCATCTCGTCAGCTCCGCCATCGCACCTTCGCCCAGCGGCGGCGGCGCGGGTGCGCCGTGCCCAGCCCGCCTGATCATCGCGCGGGTGCTCGGAACTTGCTAGGGATGTACGCTTGCAAGTCGCCCGTGGCACGCTGCGAACATCGCAATCAACCCCGAACGATGGGGTCGGGAGTCCTGAATTCTCGCAATCTACAGGGGTGCCCCCAAAAGTTCCGCGGCGAGGGGTTCGAGCAGATCGGTCGCAAAGTTCGGCGCGTAGCGGGCTGTCGCTCGCGCGCCCGACGGGTTCAGAGCGCGGTCGCTGCCGACGGCGGCACCTAAGTGGACGCGCGGAAAAAAATGCGCGCTGCGCGCGCACGTCGGGGGGGCGCGCGCGCCTCGGGAGCGCTCCGCTGCGGCATGCAAGCAATCGCCGCGCGATATCATGCGCACCGCCTCCGCGCGCGCTCGGTGCATCGGCGCGGCGCGGGCGCTCGATTCGTCGGATATCGGAACAGGGCGGCGCCCTCTCGGCGCACGCGGACAGCTATCGGACCGCGCCCCCTTCGGGCGCGGGCCAAGCGCAGAGCCAGCCTGGCTGCGCAGAGCGGCGGAGTGAGACCACGTCGGCGCAAGCAGCACCGAGGACTGCCGAGGGGGGGGGGGGGGGCGCTGCGCGCGGCAGCGTGCCTCGGCAATCGCGCGGCC